GTAGTGGCATAAATAGTCCGTACAATTCTCCAGGGGCGAACACTCCTATCTCATTATACGGACAGTATTGATCGGGTAGACGAATGCATAACGTTGATTAAGGACATAACTAGATTACATCGGAAAAGAATGTTAATTCTGTTTGTACCGTGTATAAGCCATCATTTGTCCAATTCGGTTAACTGAATGTTTCGCGTTCACCTTGTTGCTCGAAATAAAGGGCTTCGATAAAAATTGATTTTCAGTCAAATAAACGTATATATTGAATGAAAAACAATTACAGTCAAAAAGTTTAATTTTTTTTGCTCGTATGGTATAACTATTCCGGACTTAAATCAGGACCATATCTGAAAAAATCGTAAAAATAACCACACGCTCTTACATAGTGAAATTTACTTTTCTTGAACGTCCATATTATATCTGTTTCCATACCTCCGCGTTGGCTAGTACGTTTAGTTATTAACAATAACGGCCATTGGCCACCGGGTCTGTTAATGTCTCAAACATTAAAATGTCGATTTGTAAAGTTCCATTTCTGCGAAATTTTGTCGCTTAGTTCCATTGCAAAAAATAGTTGATGATAAAATATCCTAAAAATAATTCAACACATTTCACCAGCCAAAAATATTCGAACGAAAGTGGGGAGCACACTTCGCGTGGTTACAAAAAAATTAAGGCATAGTGCAAATTGGGGAAATGTACAATAACAGAATTGAGACGCGAACTCAGATTGCATAGAATGAAAGCGTCAAAGCTAGGATAGAATCAAAAATTTCATTCTGTGTCATGTGTTGACGACCCGATATTTCACGTCCCCAATGCCAGCATCACAATGACTGATAAATGGTAAAATTCATTTCATCTCATGTCTTCTTGAAAGTAATGCTGCGGGATCTTGCGTGTGTGTCAAATCAAAGCAAGTCAGTGTTTATAGCTCACAGCTTCAAAGCGTCAATTGCGTCCTGTTTTTAATCAAAGGAAACTTGATCAAAACAAACACAAGGTAGTTTTAAATGTCCTTGCGCTTCAGGATCCTTTGTTACATTGTGCTTACTCCCGCAAAAGCAATTTACGATAAAACTCTTTGTACATTGAAGCTATAAACCGACAATTACAAGGCCACGGCCTTGGGGATATTCTATAGGCAATAATAGGCCATAATTCACTATTTTGCACCTGCAGATACAAGGTCCAATTTGTTAAAATGTTCATTTAACGACTTAGGTGTCGGTTTTAATTGCTAAGCTAAATTAGAAGCATCACAACAATACAGATTTACGTTACCAGGTGTTGAAAAGTTGACCATATTTATAGCGAATCATATAGGGTCATACTTGAACGATTGTAAATTCACTTGATGAGAAGTTTTAATGCGAATCTTGTTCTAAAGCGGAAGCTTTGTTTTTATTTTTATCCATACTATACGAGTGTATCTCCATTTTTTATGAAAACTATTTGTTCATATTATATTTAATAGATACACGTATTCCGCTTACTGTACGAATTTCTTTAAATGCGTTCTATGAAATCTATCGCAATTAATAATATAGTTAAACTATTCGTAATGTCGCCAACTAATATGCAACATAAACCTGAATATGTCCAAGCCTTTGGTCAATGCCTCATCGTAATCAAAAGTTGAAAAAATACGATGATATTCTTACTAAAATAACATATTATTTTTCAACGGGAATGATTTCATAAAATACAGATTATATCACTGATAAAGCCCATTAAATTATTTTTGTTTACTTATCTACTTTTCATTTCTAAATTGTATTTTCGTGTCTATTTTTCCACAAAATAATCATTCAAAATTACGGAAAATATGATTTTTTGTCCAAAATGTAATACTATAATGGATTATATGTCATTTTGAGATAAGATTTTAATGTGAGTTCAAAGTCACTTGGAAAATACCCGTCAGCCTAATTCTATAAATGTGTCAGAAACCTATTCAGTTATATAAATTTATTTTATTTAGTGTCGACCATAATAAACCACGCATTTAGATGTGCTCATTTATGGCCGATACTTAATGTTTTCATAAAAAATAACAATGAATAATAGTTGAATAAAAATAACTTTTTTTATTGAGGAAACTGAAAATAAACTTGAAACAAGACGCTGCCTATATATTTATCATTATCCTCATTATTTTTAGATATCAGTACTGACATTCATAAGCAATTTGTTTCTTCGATCAAAAACATTTTTTCAAAATTTATATTATAAATTTTTCATTATCTAAGTAACACGTTTTCAGAGTTTTAACAGTGGATTCATCGGGATTTGCAATCTCAAGATATAATTTTATTTAATGCAGGGACATTAGTGTGGAACAAATCGCATATGGTGTGAAAGATTTAAACGCTATTAAGTCATTTTAGTGTGTGCTGTTTCATTTTTGCCAAGTTTTCGGAAAGCCAACTTACTCACCACTCTGCACAGGCAACTGCTTTTAGATTTTTCAAGTAATGATGGTATCACCAGAAATGATCATCCGGAGATATGGCTATCCAAATTACCACCCTATTTACTTTATATTAGCCTAATCATTAGGTCCTTACCTGCATAAAAAAAACTTTTTAGCAGATGGCTGCATAATGGGATTGGAAATACATAATTAATATAATATCCTATACGATTTAATCTTCGCAGAATGATCGGAATTATAGTGAATCGATTTTGCTTTTATAAAATTGATTAACCATCATCAAGACTACACACATACAATAATTATATCGAATAAAAGCCATTTATTATTTATTAAAACTTTGGCAATTATATTGCGTTTAATGCAGTGTAATTCAAAATACTAACAAGTTGGCCATGTAGAGGAGAAGATGTAGCGAGTTCCTTTTCATTGAATGACTTTGGCATGAGGTTATGGTATTACTTTGGTAAATTGACACGGCACGATATGTGATCATCTTCTAACCTACAATCAATTCCTAAAACCAAATGTACCATTCTAGGTGTATATGGCGGGTTGTACTTGGTAGCTATCTTAGTAGATTTTTATCGGTCGGTCTTGCACCGTTTTGTGACGATAAACATAGTTTTACCACTTATTTTCTGTGCCGTTTTAAATCTTCGTGATCGACATGTTAAATTATCTCCTGAAATCTGCCTTTTCATTATATATATCATTCATATGAGGAGGGTATGGCAATTTTTATCTCATGATATATACTTGTTATAAAGATTTAAAATTAAAACTTATTGAATGGAGTTTCTGTGACTTGTGTCAGAATATTTTACTGAAAATTGTCGACAGCTAACGGTACTCTAAATTTATCGCTCCAATCGATACACCAATCTAAGTACAAACAGTTTTGGGAGATTAAAAACAAACAATGGTACAGTTTGACTCAAAATCTCACGCGACGTTGACGTAAATCCAACCCAAATCTGGCGACAAGTTGAGTTTACCTTAATTCAAGTGTACGTGTGTGACAGGCTTAAATAAGGATTATTACCGTGCGTGAGGTCTTTATGGTGTGCGCAAGCTGCGTGTGAGGGTTTTCCACAAGTCTTTCGATCACTGATGGGGAAAAGGGGGTAATTATGAAATGTATAATGCACCAAGATGTATGTGCGCCTTGCACCGAGATGTATGCCTTGGCACAAGTTACGCGTGGTCTTTGATAAAACTTTGCTGATAGATTTGGAATAAGGCCGTGCTGGAAAAACACTTAAAATAGGACCAGACGAGTCGGTCTTCTGTTGTTTATTTTTGCGCCATTTCTAGTGGATAAGCTTCGCTTAGGTTTGTTTAAGTTCCGAAGCAATTTTTTTCGTTTGCGATATGCTCTAATTAACGCAAAACTGCCGCTGTCAATTATCTAATTGTCTGGAGTCAGATGGGCTCTTCATGATGACGCCTCAAGGCACATTTGCCGCAATGAGATAGTTAGGATAAGTGTGGAAGTCTATACAAAACTTAGGTTCCGGGGTATTGACAAGTTCCTCTCCGATGCAGTAACAAACAAATTTATTAGCGCAGTAGACTAGGTTTATAAATTTCACAGTGAATACTCATATATGTACAGTCTGTTTATATGAAAAGCTTTGTTTAAAATCTCTCTTTTTCGGAATAAATAAAGTTTACAAGGCACCAACTCGGACATGTAAACAATATCTTTGTCCCTTATACGGTTATTGGTTACATCATTGGAATTATTTTAGTCCAGTGGCGATTTTATTTCGCGCCGGCGGCCGTAAAATCCACTTTCGCAGTCGCCTACCGATTTGGTTCGAACAAAAAGACATCGTAAAACGATACCCTCCAGCTAGTTGATTCAGTGCAAATAGAAAAAGGCAGGTTTCCATGAGAGAGTTAGTTCAGGCGTCTTCTCGTCGTTGCTTCGTAAAGTACCGTCGTAGTAGCGTAGTGCGCCGTTAGCCGTCGGCAGTTTTTGTACATAGAGATGGTGCGCGATAATATTATTCCTATTTTCATATCGCTTGTAAGCTATTTTAAGGCGTAAATTTCAAAATAAATTACTAATAACAATACAGAAAACTGCAACGCGTTAAGTTATGTTTATTAGAGCTAATTAAGCTGTGTGTAATAAACGGGGCGTCGGTGAGAAGTTTTCGCAAGGCAGTACGAAATTGTCACCAATAGCTGAATGGGCGATAACTGTCAGGCAATAATCCTTCTTGTTAGCAAATTGAATATATCGGGTCGTCACAAAAGGTAGCTTTGAGTAAAATTGTATCGGTGAGAGATCTTAGTTTGTTTGAGTATTGGTATATTTAGTAACGCTTAGTAATTTCGATTCGTATTTTGGGCCTAACGCAGCAGTAATTTACTGAGGAAAGTGCATAGTTACATGTTTAATGTGGCACAAAGGGATGCGTTTAATAACTTACTTTTGATGAATTTAATTTCATGGATATGGCTTGCCACAACTCATGTATTGAGCGTTGTAAATAGAAAAAAATAAGATTTGAAAATTATACCGTTATTATAATATGCATAGGTGTAACCTGATTTATATTTATCCCGCAGATATTTTTCCTGAATCGGTACATTGTTATTCTAATAAGCTACGTTACAGTGGCTTGATAAGATAAGACAATTAAAATCGACGGAAAAATCAAGCAGAGATTTCCAACAGCGAACGACAACGCTGTTTAAGTTAACACCTTCGATTTTAAGAAAAAAGCGATAAGATTCGAATATCGCCTCCCGTGACATGCATTTACGATAACGACTTGTATATTGGAAATTGGAATACTGATACTGTTCAACAGCCAGAACGCACAACAGCTGAATAGTAAGCTTACGCAAAATTGTGGACACTTGTTGAATATTTTTGGGATATTATTGATTCTGATTCAACACCTGTAAAAAAGTGGATACGCGAAAATCTCAATGAAGCCATATTTTTGGATTTCGTTGTAAGTACTATTTATTTATCGTAAAACGTACATAATTTTTCTTGTAACATTTTGAACAAGTTAGTTCCATCAAATCGTTTTTGACATTTATTAATGCTGATGATGACCAACTTGAAAGCTCAAATCCGCTATTAAAAATGTAAGGTTCCACGCAATTAACTTAAATTATAGGCCTTCCCCGTACTGAGTTAATGGTTATTGTGATAATTTGACCGAATGGTACCAGGCACGGCTTCTGCCCGGCTCTCTGTAATTAAGCCTCAGAAAATAACAGGGTATGCCTCTCGCCGTTCGAGTAGTTCAAAATGTAATGGATTCTAGTTGCTTTAATGACAATTGAACATTTGTATAATTTTTTATCTTTTTTATTTTCAGGCGGATCGCAACTTTGGTGATATTATTCAATCATGTAGGGTCGAGTTCTTTCCCGGAGAACGTTGCACCAATATCGGTTACAAAGTTGAACGGTAAGACATGTTGTTTAAATTTTATCTACAGCAATAATAATACGATACAATGTCAAGTTTAATTCCAAAGAAACACAGGACTAATATCTGTGTGAAAAGCGTTTCGAAAAGTTAATCTTCTGAAATCCTTTCGCGCTTTCCACGTCGAATTTTAATTCCCGGCAATAAATCGAATCTTGCGCTGGTTGTAAAATCTGAATACAATGCAGCAAAACAGGTCGCTTCATTCTGCATCTCGTTACTTTGTAAACACCGCTGCGACCTCATTTTCTCCGTTTTATTTGCGGTACCCCCTGCTGTACTACGATACGGATTTGTATACTCTAGCTCTCCCAAGAGGCTCGAACCCAGCCAAGCGTGTCATGTTGTTGTGCTGACGTCAGCGAGTTTCATATTTTCAAATTAAGGAATAGGAATAGATGCCCACACTACATGACTAATTTCATACCATATTTTGACATAGTAGTTTCGTATTAATTATAACCTGTTAGACACGGGCCATTGTATTGTTGCTTAAAATAGTTTAAATTATGAAGAAATGTTAATTGCAAACCTAAAACTATTCATACAATTTGAATAATAGTTATTTCATCAATATTTGCTCGAATCTATCAGCTATTATATTGGAAATATTGTTCTATAATGATCTCATGCCGTTGATTGGTAGTATAGCATTAAAACCCCCAGGGCGACATAGAACTCATCCGCAATAAAACTTGATTTTGTGGGAGAAATAATCGTCTTGTGGGCAATTGTACTGGGAAACTACACTAATTATACCAAAGATCGGCTCAAAATATATTCAGCATTTTATAATCCTGATATAATAAGGGATTTCGGGCGAAATTAATTTTTAATATGACCAGATTATGAATCGTTATTTTTTGTACGATCAAATTATATTCTTGTGAATATGAAGCTTATATTTTCACCTTGTTCCACCAGAGACAAAACATGATATATTTTCAAACAAATTGTATGTTTTTTGTACAAAAGTTACACTTTTTGTAGCTATTGTAAGTTGGAACTTAGGAAGTAGCTTTGAAATTATTTTTGGTATGGTTTTCTTGGCTGGGATGGATTTGTGTACAGTAGTAAAAATTGGTTAATAATTTATTTAGCAAAATATTAGATCACAATTCAAAATGATATCACTTTTATCGCCCGAGGTTATAAAAATTCGCTGTTTTGTTATACGTTGGAACAGATAATTAGAGAGTACTTCCCGCTACCGAGGACAGGATTGCCGTAAATGACACCTTTAAACGTCATGATTCTGACAACTATATCCTTGAATTGAAAAGAATGATGTTATCGGTAAAATGGAAGTTAAAACTAATTGCTTGTTACATATTATATGCATAGATAAAGAAGTATTTTCAAAAACTAAAATCAGGGATAACCCAAAGAAGATGATTCAGCATGTTACGTGCAAGTTGCGTCAGCAGAATCGTGTAATTCTGCGCGCTTGTTTTAAATAACTAAGTTTGCTTGCCAGGCAACCGTCAAGTACGCACGCAGTAGCCGTAATTGTAAATATAGGATAATAAAGGATTTGTTGACACGAAAAATCAAAATTGAATTGAAAACGGGCGTATGAATAGGCGTGGTCGTCTAAAGATCACGCGATGCCCGGCCAACACGTCACCTCTATGCCCACAAACGTTTGCACAGCGTTGGAGTAACGGTTACACTCCTTTGCAAATACTAGTTTTATGATTTGATGAAAATAATGCCATAATAGTTTAGTTGGCCAATGTTCGAATAGTGTATAAATTATTGATTTATCAACGGCCTAACGCAAAAGAAAAAGTAAACGTCTTTTCGACTTTGGCGTATGAGCATCTCGTCACGTACAACGTTTAAACTAAAACACAAGTGGTTTGTTTGTGATTGAGATTACACGTCTAAGTCCTAGGTCATTTATTCTTTGTCAGAAATTAAACTTACGGACGGTTTTGAGTGGATTACAAACAAAGTCGAGTAGTTTGGAACATCACCAGCGATAAAAAAGTTGCTAACGATTCTAGACATCGATGCTTGTGGCTACTATTGGGAATAAACACTCGAGCAGTTTACTGATTAGTCTGCAACCAAGATTGCAATCGCTTATTTAAATTTTTCATGTTTCCTCACAATGATCACAAATTAAAATAATGTTATCTGTCATATATCGTAAAAATTAGATATCTAGTTGAAGTAATTAAATCGAGATGGTCGTTTGTTTGGTTAGCTTTTCTTATGATTGTAATATCCATTCTTTTCGCCTCAGGGTTTATTATGTTCCGGTGTTTTGTGAGAGCAAAACTATCACCAGAAATACGCATTAATGCTAATCGATCAAAAGCTACAAAACAAAACTTTCGTCATCGTCATCAATCGTAAAAATGCGCGTCATTAGGACGACGAAGATGTTTCAACTTGTCCACGTTTTTATTATCGTACTCATAAATCACGTTCAAGATGTAAAAAGCTGTTCGCCATAGTGACTTACAATATTGCATTACGAATTAGTTGAAAATTTTGATTTTACACCCTTCTGTGGTTCAGATAGTATTTAAACTAAGAATTATATTTATAAAACATTAGCCCTTTTTCTGTTACAAAGAAAGAGATATTCTTGACAATCACCCTAATTTCAGGCCGGTATAAACAAGCCAACAGTTGTGCCTATCAGCTATAAAATAACAGCTTTACATTTGTATTTTTAGCTCCCAATTCGGCTGAGGTTCGGAGTTCGTACCACATCGATTAGAGTTGGTCGCGTACCTAATTGGTACTTTTGTCGTTAACCCCAACTCTTAAACTTAGCACAGAGTTTGAGTTGAGCATCACTATTGAAATTGTATTTTTTCTTGTGTACAACGGGTTCATTTTTTAAGTGGGACACTCGACTTGAGAGTTGTGATTCAGACGCGGATACAAATGCTCTCGAAAACAGCCAAATAAACCATTGTTCTGAATTTGAAATTTTCCACAACACCCTCACATTAACCAGATCTATGCTATAAACAGAACTAGGGGGAAACAGAATATAAGTTGATATTTTTCTATCGAATAAGTTCAAGTTGTCGTATGGAAATAACGAAAATAGATTTGGGCGTGTACTTGACGGGAACACCCCTGCAAAAACCATTCTAAATTTACGCATCTTCAATTTTTTATCCGAACCAATTTGAATCTAAAATTATAGCCCATTATTTAAAACCCAGTCAATTGCATCGCATTGTCGAACATGACTCTGGAATAAACCACTCTGTTAACGTAAAGCTAATTCGATCCATGTTTGATCAAGTCTGTTATATGACAATCGGACTCAGCCCAGGTTTCTTGGTTTCCGCCTTTAGTAAACAGTATAGACTTAACTATCACTATCGCCTTATGGGTCGGGGTTATTATTCCGGTTCGCTGCAAAAGTTTATTTACATTTACTGAAGCGTGCAACCTTAACCACATAAGCCTGCTCTGAGCTGAGATTGCCATGCTAAACTCTTTACTTAAATAAAATAAATTGTGTTTATTTTTGTGATAATAAAGTCAAATACAGGTTGAAAAGTTAAGCAACCATTCAAAGTGAAACTATAACGTGTTACATATGTAAAAGTACCAAACTAGTGCGAGATGATTCAATAGCTAAATCTTTAAAATTAAACCTACTAAGGAAACAGTTAACTACACACAAACTACACCAAGCTATTTATTGGATATACAGTGACAATTTTCCCTCAAATACATATGTAAGCAAACGTTGTGTTCCCGGACGCTGGAAATGAGTCCTGATACACCTGTTTTCCCGTCCACACGCTCTGTTGATTTTGGAAAATGGGTCAGTAGTCAATATAAAACCGTCCATTATTTAGACAGTTGTGAAAATTGTGTCGCTAAAGTTATACACCAAATTAGTCATCTATGTATCGGTAATAAATATAATTCAGTGTGACAATAAACGGCAAAATACGCTTTTTTTCAGATTGTCAGTTCCCATGCGAAAAGTTTTTAGACTCGATAAAGAGTTCTCACCAATTTCCCCAAATGTCAGTTATCTTGGTCTCGTAGTTTATTATTAGTTTATTTACGTTTGTCTGAATTTTTCCCTCAGGCGTGTAAAATACATTATTTTGAGCAAGAACCAAACTACTTTTGACGTCACGGTGTCTTGATTGACGGTCGCTGTCAACGCCTCGCTGCAGTCGATCTAGATAGGGTCGATCTTTCAACTTTTTCACGACCTCAATTTTTTTTCTTATATAAATCTTCGTTCGCCCATGGGCCATATATAAATTGATTTATTTTTATAATTGATTTTTCGCTCATGTTTGGAAGACGCCTTTGCTTGAAAAGGTCGTTTTCGTTTCCGCGGCGACATGCTGGGCTAATCTCCGGCTCGGCCGCTGACTCAGAAATCCGTAGACAAAATTGTCGTCTACAAGTAGTTTTACTATCAACACTTACTACGTATCCCAGTGTTCACAATTTGTCGCTATACAAAACCTACCCAAATCGTTAAACTTTTGTGGTTAACTCAAAACGTAAAATTGTTTTAAATGGACCATACCGTTCTCTATAAATAAATTAGCAATTTCCTTTAGATTAGTTATCATAACAATCATGTAGTTAGGTTTTTAATGAGGCGTTATACGGTTAAAAATATATATTTTAATCAAATTTGAATATATAAATGTTTTTAAGACAAACCCATTAACCATTCAGCCTATACAGCGCATGACTCGAGGTCTTTTCCCCCTTTTTTATTCATCAATTGGATTATGTGATGATCAAGTGAGATTCAAAATAGATTCGGCAGTGTACTTGACTTCTGTGACGTTATTCTGAATTCAGGGCGCCGTGCACTCCTTCTGACTTTGCCACTGTGTACGCTTTTGGATATAAAATGAAATTAATTCGGTTCATTTGGCTTTAAATTATGGATAATGTTTATGATATGTTTAGTCTCACCAAGAAATGGGCTGTTATGATGAAAAAATTGGTAAATTACTATAATTTATCAGTAAAATCCTCTAGATTGATCAAAAAAGTAGGTATTGAAATATTTTCTGTCATTTTGACTCGCAAATCGACGGCTTATCCATTTAATGAATCAATTTCAGAATATTTCTACATTTTCAGTTGTTGATTTTTTTTTCGTATAAAATATTGGGTATCTAGTCGGTTTTTGTATTTAATTTCGGTTGAAGCACATTTAGTATACCTAATTTTCTGACTGTTGGGTGAGGTAATTTTTCATTTCTCATTCGGGCTGAGGCCAAAGCTGTCGCCTAGCACCTGCCGAGTGCATAATAAGCTGTGTGTTTAGGTAAAACACGTACAGCCGGCGGAGGCCACCACAGGTAGACACTAATCAGTAAAGTTCAATTTTAAATTAAACAACTGTGTTTTCTACAATACAGTCTGATAAGGAAATTTACACAGGGTAACTGCTGAGTTGACTATAATCCTGACCTGGACCCGATCATTCGTAAAAACACACGTCTGTGATAAAACTATATCAACAGACTGTTTATGCCAGATTTCATGGTTATAATCACAGGTTATGCTTGGTTGTGTGTGTGCTATTATGTTCTATAATTGTTTGTGTATAAGGGTCACAGTGTTCGCATTGTTGGTGTAAACATGGTAGATTAATCATCTTAATAACTACCCATCATTATTTTCCAGATGTTTCGAGTTCGGTTTTTACCGGAGGCGATTTATCTTCAGATGGACTCCAGTATGTTCAAGATATCAAAATGATGAAAATTGCCGGGAAAACCGTTATCGCGATTTCAGCAAGGTGGGTGTTTTTTAGACTATGAGAGCTAAAATAAAGTATATATTTGAATTTATATTGTACAAAACGTACCTAAATCAACGTTTGCCGACTCTTTTCAAGTCTTTTTATAGAGGAGTGGTGTGGTTTTGATTTGTCACGAGATGAGCCAGGATCCGATGACGGGGTGAAAGTGCGATCGAGTATTTTCTATTGTGTGGTTCTCAGTATTACGTAATTACAACTCGTATAAAAGCCACATTTGGGACTGAACTCTCATTTTTAGCAAGTGTGGGCCATTGCTGAAATTGTATTCTATTTTAAAATATTCCTTGGTTCATACACGCCCAAATAAAAAAGTTTGATAAATTGCACTCTTACACCTGTTACTGCAAATACACACAATTGAATAAATATAAAGTAATAGGAGCGTCTAGAACAAGTCAAATTTGCGTAGGCAAGGTGTAATCTGTCCTAATAAGGCCCGGTACTATTTCTTCAAAACAGGTTTTCGGCCAGGCTGAATTACACGTCTTCGCTACGGTAGCTTTTGTTATCGATACACTGATAGCTTTCCATGAGATTGAATTTCCCTGACTCAAAATGGGGCTTGACCTCTATTTTTGTCCAGCATGCCGGAGTCAAGTACCCAATTGTTCCCTGCAAAACAGCTTGTAGTGCACACAAACTTAAAGTGGCGCGTGCCCACTCGAATTCGAAGCCTGTTTTATTGAAAAACATAGAAAAGTACATTTTTGTGACATTTTTGGTGAAAACTGAGACACATTTTTGGCTAAAAAATCACTAATTTGTCATTGGAACCCAAGAAGCACTTGTTTAGAGTATTCGATGAATTTCGATGAGAAAAAATTGGGAGTATACGCTTCATATCTTACGAAGAACTCCGCTGCACTGAATCACCATATTGCCATTTACACCATTCTTTAGCACAAAATGTACGTTAATAATATTCATTTATACGCCACATTGGCAATTTTAATTCAGCTTGTCAACGGAGTTTATTTCGTCCAGGTGTACTCACAATAATTTGCCAATACTATACAATTTACCAGTTAGTATTATAATTAGGTGCATCAATCGCCACCTTTATTGTGGTTGACCACAACGGCATAAAACACGAGGGAAACAGTGGGCGACAGTAGGGTGTGCCGGTAGGCTTCGCACACATGGTCTTTCGTCGTACAATTGTTGTTATTTTTCGCGGGAGTCTCGAGTGCCATTGATTCAAAATTTATGAAAAGACGGATTAGTAGATTATACCTCGCGTCTCTATTCAAACCTTCCAGTATTGTGTTCTTCTGTCGACTATCGTCGTGAAAACAAGACCTTTGACTATGTTTTATGAAACGAAGAGCTTGTATTATCCCTCGCTACAAACACATATAACACTGGCGTAAACTTTCCCCTCCAGTGAATTGAAACAGGGAACTCGATATCATCTGCAAAAGGACGTTTTTGTGAAGGAACAGGCCTTCTTCCGGCCTGCTGTACCCTTTGTAAATTTACACGCGAAAGTAATCGTCCATACTACGGTACTCAATTTGAAACAGACTACTTTCGCTACCGGCACAAAAGGTGTCGTGCAAATGCATCCAACATCAAAAATCAATCAAGATAGACAAAATTTTAAAATTTTCCAAGCATAGGAAATAATCTTATTTAAGATATTTAAATTTAGATAACGTCAGCTTTGGCATATCGCTTCCTTTTACGGAAACAAGTTTACTTAACCTGATTGGATTATTGGCGTAGAGTTCAGAAATAAGCTGACTTTTTCAAAAACAAATTAACGTTTCCTCACATAAATTTAGAAGTTTAACACCGTTTCTGTCTGAGAGGCTTATTATACCTTATAAGGCAAATCGGGAAATTAAAAACTAGCTGTCACCGCCATGGATATATTTACCCGTATAAGATTTTATATATGTCGATAGTCTACATTCGGAGCCTCTATCGTACGTGATGTAACGGTACTTTGTTTTTGTCTTCGTCACTGGGAGGAAATGGAAATTGATACGGGTAGTAGTGTATTTCAATTGTATCACGACTAACGTTTCCCTTTTTGAGCTAAATTTAGTGTTTTTGTCCATGTTAAAGACACACAAAAGCCGACGATAGCTCAAATTTCCCAGAATCACAATAAAAACGGAACCGTCCCTATTCCCAACCAGACTTCATTATGTTTTACGTGTAACGGTCTTTGTTTACTCGCCTAACAACATACACCTGGCTTGAATAGTATTTTCTGTATGTTTAAACTTTCCATTTTTATTATCAAAATGTAAAATCCCACTTGTATTACGATGAGAAAATATTTATTCAGAAGATGACTGGTCACGTGGTTTATTGGTCTGCATATAGCATATACATATTACATATATAGTTTGACAGAGAGAAAAGGCATTATGACGCACACAATGTTTCCCGTTTCTGACGCCTACTTTTCTTTGAAAGTTTCGTTTTGCGGTTTTGTGGGGATTTAAATGACGCCTCGCAGTGAAGCGAAAAAAATATAGAGGGGTTATGGGGTCTTTAGTAAATAATTCTGGGGTGATTTCAACGAAGTCGGAGAATTCGCGAAAAAAAATCCCGGTATGGCATTATATTAACACTCTGTTGATTTCATCATACAATCGAACCGATGACTTCATTTTGTGACGTCATTCGTTTTCGACAGACCTACAATAGCTAACAAAAGCAAATATTGACGACCCAGTTTTCGTGCGACTCTTTACGTGGGAACAATTAAAGCAGCTTTATGATTGCTTTTTCTATTCATGGTCATCCTCCCTTATTCTATTTAATATTTACCACTTTGCAGAACCAGGGTTATATTTAGACTTGTGTTTCCATTTGCACTCAAATTCACCATTCGGGGATATTCTTCAATGATCTAAGTAGGCTACTTTCGTTATAATACAACCAAATAGCAACCAACAAGTCACCTCCATACCAGATACTGTAATACATTTGTAACATGTTATGTCAATATTTATTTATTTTAAATTAGTAAAGAAAATATATATTAGGGTTAGTCGAGGGCTACGCTTTCTGCCCTTAAAAACAACGTCCCAATCTAGTATACCACATGATGATAAGCTGAGAGGGTCGCCAGCATTATTCTTTGTTGTAGTTTGATAAAAACTATCATTTTCCACGCCTGAGATGCGCTACAATAGAAACCCCGTGTTTAGTAGGTTCCAAATTCTCTTTAAAGCATAATTAGGCCTCAATACATTGGGGGCGTGATACTGTGTTATTGGAGATAAATGGACCAGAAAATGAACCCTATATATATAATTGGAGTTTTGCACTCAAATTTGAGCCTATGAACGGTGACGGAGATTTAGGATAATAAGGGATTCGCCAACGTAAATAACGCTTTGTAAGTGTGTATAATTATATGCGAATAGGCCAGTTAAATTTTGCTTATATTTTTTATATTTCATGAAAACAGTGAAAATAATGGTGGAATGAGATACGCTTAGTGATAAATTTCAAAAGCTTTCAGCTTTCTCATTCATTATTATCATTTTTATTAAAACTCCTATGAAGTATTGTTGAAACAGATTTTCCCGTCATTTCTTATCGAGCAAAATCACCAAATTAGAATAAAAACACTTCATGTTAACAATACAGTACATTGAACCTCTTCTCCGCTTTATCAGCCCTATTTCAAGTGCTGATATTTCATAAAACGGCACTTCAGGACGCGCAAATTCAATATTAAATCACAATATCCCACGTCAATGGCGATATGAACACACAAAACAGGCCAACAGTGCTGCGTCAATAAGAACAATAAATTTTGGAAGTCACTTGTGAGAAAAGCGCGCCAAAATGAATTTTCCAAAAAACGATGCTTGTTTTATTTGATCAAGCACGAAATATGGATCATTTTTGCTCAAAATCGAGCTTTATCTTTGGGTTAAACGTGGTAACAGCATTTTTTAATCAATTCGAGTTTTGTCTGGAGTAACTCTCAATCTACACTTGACAGATCTTGTAGGCTCTCACTGACAGAGTAGAAGTGTTCCTTCTGACTCATTCTAGTTTTTCAAGTTATAATTTTATTTCGTCAGTTTATAATAACCAGAAAAGTAGGTGAATCACCACCGGTATACTTTGTTTACGGCCCACTTCGTGCTATATACGAAACGTCGTAATTGTGGTAACAAACTCTATGTCTATTTAGGCTAATATAATTTTTGAGTCATTCTTGTTTAAAAATTTACACTGGAAATAGAGTATTTTGTTTCAGTAATTGCATATTGCCGAAAAAATGGGTAAAAGGGGTAATGATCCCTCTAATAAAATAATTATTTGGAAAAAATAAATTCTAAAAAATTATTCTAGATTGTAGGGAACACTGGAATATTGCGCGTAGGTTGAATCTTGAATTGAAACAAGCCATTATGTTTGCTTAAAAATCACTGGAACGACATTTACAGACTCTTTGAAATAATAACTTTGTCATAAAAACAATAAGTTATGAGTCGGCGTATCTGGGTCAGCAACAAAGGCACCGAAGTTAACGCAGCCGGCGTATGTCAGCGGCGTATCGTTTGTGATGATATTTCACGCCGAAGTGTTTTACTGTCCAGTTAATTGGTTTTAGCGCTCGAACGATGAATTACGACCATCCGCTGGGATGGCGAATTAAAGTAAGCTCGCGAACTGAAATTATATGTTTTTGGACAGTAAACAAAGTCATATATTTTATTTAGCAAACGTGTGTAATTAACTATCGAAGGTGGTTTATTGAATCAGACCAATACACAATTTGATCGATATTCAAAATTTGACCGTTTCTACAAATTAACTTGCTTATAGAGTAACTCAAATTAAATGGATACCCGAATTTGAAGTGAAGCTATAAACAAAGATATAAAGTGCCATTTGTCGATATATTTTGCTTATTATTCGAAATTTGTATTCCTAATCTTTTGTTGTTTTCAAATATTTACACCGATTAATTTTTATTTTCAGAGAAAAATTATTTATCGTTCGAACTGACGACTTTTCTCCTACATCAGATAAAAAAGTTTTACCTGCAAATGTAAGTTAAACTTTTGAACATTGTTTGTTTTGTAAAAATACTCTTCAAAATTACGAATTAAAAAATATATATATAATAATTATTCTTTTAGTTATTTATTACCAGGTTTGTTTCATAAACGTGCTTAAAAATCAGCTTGTTTCTATCAATTTTTTTTGCGTTGATAGAAGGTTAAATGAATCTTTGCTCATAATATTTCAAACAAGGTTTTGCAATAATATCACACTAAGAGAAAATAATCAAGATTTTTGTTTTTCATCCATAAATACTCTGAACATAAATGTTTTCAATTTAACACTTGGAATCGGCCAATTTTAATGTTTTCGTGTTTCCAAATTAGATTTATTATATTTAGATTTTCACATGGAAATCTGATGAGGGAGCAAAAGGACTTTGTCAAATGAAAGGCCAAAGCGAGGTAAACATTCTAATTTTATAAGCAAACATCTAATTTTTCGTTTTCTTTACTTTTTCGTTTTGTAATCAAATTTTCGACTCCGCAATCTCGTAATTAGGACGCTGTAATTGTAAGCATTTATTCATCTGATTACCAACTACTTTATGGAAAACTACAATTTGTAGCAAGGTTGTATACAATAAGGCATTGTTTTAGTGTTTTTTGCCAAAATAATTTGGTTCCTTTTTCATCCATTTATCTTTATTCGTGGAATTGGAGTTACGGGTATAAGAGAAAAATTACGCTATTTTTTAAAACACACCTTTCTCATTGAAAGATCTGTGCAATTACTATAAATTTGGTATTATATACACTAATTTTCGAATAATTCATTTGGAAACATAACGGGTTTGGTAAAAAAATCATTTTTGCAAATAAAACCAGCAAACTATTAATTACAATTAAATGGACTAATTAACCTGTCGCCAAGATTACTAAAAAAAACACCGCAATAATTACCAAAATTCAAGTTGCAATTTTTATCCCAGGCCTACGTTGCACCAAACCTAATTTAGATTAGTAGGTACATAGGAAATTTAATTTGGTCGTGGGCGCCAACAATCCGGATATTCAAGTTTGTAATTAGCGGTGACGATGGTTACTTGCTTGTTATCTACTAATTAAACTGTTTTCTGCGCTCGGAGCCTCGTTTGTTTAAACTGCTGTTTGGCGTCTACGTGAACCAGAAAAATATATTCTGCGGTCATTGAAAATCTAAAATAACTTTTAGGCGTCAAAATACGACAAAAATAAAGGAAGTTTTAAAAATAACTTTGTTTTGGAAATGTATAGTTTGAAATTACAATTTTACAAATACCACTGATAAACCCCCGAATCACTGACTGTCACATTGCCCCCTGATTCGGCCATGCCATCTGCCACACTTATAAGTTAAAAATCTCGCACCAGCCGTTCGCATCAAATTTCAAATAAGTTAGCAACCAACAACAGCTCGATGGTCCCAAGAGTATTGCGGCACTTGCGAGTTGTTTCCACTTATAGACGCTTCTTTTTAATATTTTAATTTATTAGAAATTTGTTATTGAGACCATCGACGCATATTGTTTTGACCGAAGGATATGAACAGCCGTTTGTTTCGTCCCGTCGAGTTCAAACTGGACTGTCAGTTGTCGGTACTAATCATTTAAAATTTGCTATCGGCATTGTACTAATAATATAGTATTGCTTTGAGCATGATTTCGTTAAGAACTGTTTTATTTTGTGTTATATAAATTGGATTTATTTTAATTTACGGGCACAAAACTCTGCAAGCGTCAGTGCCAATACTGCGCAGCGGACGCGGTCAATTTGATATGTTTAGGCTACGATTATTTTGACTTCAATTGTGTTCAATTCGACTGGCCTAAACGGGCGATGAATAAGTTGCTCAAGTAAACCTCAGACTCCATAATTAATCATGTTTGCTGTTTTTACGCCTTCGAACAAATTCATTTAAAAAGTGCAGTCGAGCGTGAAATCCGCGAATTCAAAAACGCAATCCCAAGACCAAACAGAAATCTTTTCGCCATAAGTGATTTTGTTTGATAACAGAAAAATGTGTATTTAAACCCCAGTTTTCTAAGATGAGTTACTGATCAAGTTTAAGATGTAGATAAATTTGAAGAGCTTTTGAAGCCTTTTGGTTTTAATACAAGTTGCAGACGGCGAAAGATAAAATCTCATTTCCAAGGACTTGAATAGACTCGTCAATCATCGTCTGTCGCACGCTTGTTGACTAATGGTATCATTTGAGCCTACAAGTTTTTAGGCGACTAGAAATATAGTGCGACTGCGCTGCTCTTTGTCTCTAGGCGACACACACTTCAAAACGACTTCTTTATACGCCCTGTCTGTTTTTTTTCTTCCTATTTGAACTTGAAGTTGTTCGAAAGTGGTTACGACGTCAGTTACAATGGTTAGGCACCGTGCTGTGTCAGTTTGTATTACTATGCCGCTCATTCTCATAATGTTCCAAATTTGATCATTTCAAGCACGGATTGGTCATATTTGTTATTTCACGGTTTCTTCAAAAGCCTGTACATAGTGTTTTGCACTGAAATTATTGATGACAAAAATTTTATCGTTGGTGAAATATTTTGCCTCTTTTAAAATTTGTATTTGAATAAATGCTTTTAGTCTATTTTTCAATTGAGCGAACGTTACTGATAATGGAAACTTTCAACATGAAATAAAAAATAAATAAATAAAATAAAATAGAATAAAACGGCCTGTTGTTTGCTTCGCGTTCAATTTTAATCGGATAAACGTTTTCTCATAGGAATTCACATTTCTGAATTTAGATCAGTTCTGTTTGCTTTTGATTTTTTTATAAGTAATCACGTTTCATTATTTTTTAATTTATTTTATATTAGGAAAATTGTGATAATTATATTCGAGTCTTGCAACCGATGGACGAAAACGGCAACAAATTGTTAGTGTGTGCTACGAATTCATTTGATCCACTTTGCAAGTATATCACGGTAAGAATCTTTAAATTTATATTTGATCGAACATCAAAAATAGTACCTCACAGCTGCGATTCATGGCCGATTATAGATTATATTTCTAGAATAAATTTGATCTTGAATTTAGATAAGACCGTTTGTTCACATGCGGTGTTTCTTGCGATTTCAATTTTCAGAATTACTCCCCAAAAAATTTACATCTATCCTCCCTAGCGTATCATTAATATTTCCATTCACACGTCACAATATTTGAACTTAATTTGAAAACAACTGTTTGTATATTGCGATAATAATCCGAATTTTAAATTATTATGGCACGTCTATATAACAATTTTCTCAAATCACAACACTGAAAATACCATAATCAAATGCTTTTACTCATCGTCCAAGCATTAGTTACTTCTTATCGGTAATTTGACAAATTTATACTATGCAATTGCAGTACATTTCACACGTATTTATCATAGTACTCCGTATTTACAATACAAAATATTTTCATATTTTAGGCAACGTCAAAACACGGTGAAATTGAACTGATTGCAGACGAAGAATCGTTTTCTGGAACAGAAAAATGCGCATTTGGTCCGCACCAGACAGGAGTCAGTTTGTATTCCGGTAAGTGGTCATAATTGTAGCGCAAACGCTTTATCTTTATGACCATTTCAAATATATTCTGTATTTGAATATATTCAATGTAATGTCAAAGGGAAAATTGCGTTCGAGCTTTTTAGTTTCACCTGTCAAAAGATATCCTGAACTAAACAAGAAAATAGACGACTCATCCGTCAAGATGATGTTCGTCGGCAAATAAGTAGACAGACTTAGAATTACGTTTTAAAAGCGGAAATCTTAAGCACTTAATGTAATTTTATCGTGAGGCTTTTTTTTTCTTTTTTTATGTCAATATCGTAAAATTGAAATGAGTCAGATGTGAAAAAATAAATGGTTTTTTAAATCGCAAAATACACAATTCAAGCCATTTTAACCCAAATACACTTATTATTTTATTATTTGTAGTTTACTAAAAGTAGGGTTATCCTATTGTACAGTAAAAGGTTATTCGAGATTCAGAGTATATACATATTCATTTCATTTGCAAACGTGTTTCATGCATGTCCATGCTTGATATTACTCAATTTTGCTGACATGGTAATAGATAAACCAATAAATGTGATTTTAAAGGTTTCATAACATGACATGAAAAACCTAATCTCATCTTATTATCCGCTCTCACGGGACGTCATGTTTCGTGTTTAATAATATGTCATATTCCATGTTAAACAAGGATTTACTTTCGGATTTGTCAAATTTGTTTTGCTATAGCTAAAAGCAGAGTACATTTCCAATTTAAGTTCGTCAAATTTTAGTTTCCTTGTGTATCAATTGTCGTATCGTTTTAACTCATGAAAATTTTTGCAATCGTGAAATTCAGAAGTTTCGCAAGGGCGGTGATATTAAATTTTTATTTGCTGCAAAGCAAAAAGTTATTTCAGTCGTAAAAGTGAAATTAAAATGCAAATGAAACGCCTTAAAATCACCTAAAATATAAAATAAAACGACTTTCAGTTCCCCAATGTCAAAGTCTAAAAGTCATCTTATCTGCCAACCGTCCAAAACCGGATTAAACCGCCCTGTTACAAACATAAGTTGAACTGTTTCACCTTCACTGCAAATACTGTTAGTAGACACGTAAAATATTATACCCAATTTAGGCGAATGGCTGTTTCGATATGTTTACGATGCCATATTTGTTTCATTTAATAAGGCAGAGTGACCATGGCTTTTTTACCTTATACAAACGAAGCTGGCTTAATCATTTACAACTTTCCTGTCTGAACTCAGTTAGCGTCGTTGACGACCATTTACGATTTATCAGTGCTACCGGCCTATCATTTGCTATCTGTGTTGTGTTTTTTATATCAAGACTGAATAAATACAAGTTTCAAGTGTTTTCGAGTAGTCAATTCAAAGCTGTTAGGAAAATAAATTAAATTTAATTTCATTTCTCCGTAATTTGTTTTTGTTACTATAGCCTTATCTGTATTTTTCTAAGCATGGATAGGATAGACGAATCGTTTATATTCTATGAGCACTCCATCAGAAGGGCATACTTGAATTCATGTTCGTTATTTTAATTTTGCCACAAAAGCTATATTGAATACTTCGAAATTCGTTTAAAATGTCTGCAATTTTCATATATTGAGGTTTTAATCAATTTGTTATTTTTCAATTTTTATCGTTCATATCTTTGTTTACCAGCCAAACATCTGGTTTGAACCAAGCACTTATCTGTAATTTCAACGAAAACGTTAATATACTGATCATACATGAATCAAAGATAAATTTAATACCAATCCTATATGTATAGTTTCACCTTAACATATTTCGTTATCAGCAATACTTCACCTTCATTTGCAAAAAGCAAGATTGTTTAAAAACGTTTATATTTGGTCCATGTACGTTCCAAACTAAATTTATAAGTTAGTTTTCAAGACCATTTGTTTTATTGAAATCTCAAGACGAAAAGTATTATTAAAGATAGTTAAATATATACTCAGCTGTAAACTAAAAAAGCAGGAGAAACGATACATGAGTTTAATTTAAGGTTTAATTTCCACCGATAAAAAGTTGTTGTTAGCAATTGAAGTAATTCTGTCTCTTGGTTACTATGATTAAGTATTTTTAATCAAAAATGTAATCAAAATTTTTTTTGTTAAACTTCCAAGTTTTTTAAAATATATTAATGCGATTGCTTGTTGCTTCATTGTCATGTAAGATTTTTTTAATATTTCACCATTATCAAATTATAATATGAATAATAGTTTAATTACATAATATATCATAAAATAATTTAATCTGAAATTAATAATTTTAATCTCGAAGGAGACTTGAAAGCGGCAAATTATAAAACGATGTTTTAATGACATTTACGTGGAAACAATCTTTCGAAATCGCATCAAACGTGGCAATGCTTCCGTTTTTTTATTTCCTGATAAACTAGAATTCCAAGTACTAATGCTGTTTGCGCACAGCACTGCACATTTACATTTATCGCGCCTTATTCTGAATACTTGAATACAGATACACTACTTACGTATATATTGAATTATCTCTTGTTTTCCGGCGACAAACGTAACGGAAACCTTTTTCATATCTACGTCATATTCGTACGTCAAAACGGGCGACGTACTTTTCTATACACTGTGTGAATGAAACATGCACACGTTTCCTGAATACGTACCGGTAGTGTTACCATTTCCTTTGGAATTTCTTGCTATTTCCGAATCTACTATGTGTTGTACCTTGTTCAACGGATGCTCATCATCTTCCTAAATGAACACCAAAAGTGACGTCATAATCTAAAAGTGACGTCATAATATCATATGGAAATTCGGTGAGGGGAAACATCACAATGGCCCTAAACGATTATTTTCCCTAAAAGTTAATTTTCACATAAATATTATTTATATGCAATATCTTCACGAGTCCCTCATTTTAATCTATTGTAGCGTTGATTCATCGGGAAACTGTGGTGAATTATTCTCTTAATTCCATAAGTCACAGTGGGTGGGCGAATGATAAATCTGACAATCGTTTATTTCCGTGTGAGATCGTCGTAAACACACGAAGAAAATTATATCTGAAATAATGATATTCAAATTTTATTATATAAGTGGTATATTTATATATAGTATAATGTATAAGGCTAGCAAATGATTTAATAAGTGATAATCCATAAGTGATTTTATAGAAATTTTTTATGATGTAAAATTATAGATACCAACTTTTTTCAAACTAATGTTTTTGATTGATAAACTTTCCAACCTCAAATGACAATGGAAAAGCTTGGCGGTTGAAGTTTTTATTTACTTTTGATTGAAATTGGTTAGTTTTTATTCGAAGATGCTCTGCCGCTGTTACAACGAATATTTTTTTAATTTTAGGAGAATCTCTGTATTCAGCGACAGTCTCAGAATTTAGCGGTCGTTCTTACGCTATCAGCCGTAGCCTGGGAAACAGCAAACAACTTAGAACACCAAAGTTCGATTCGAAATTTTTGAATGGTAAGTTTAGATATATGGAGGGGTTTAGTATCGTATTTCTGGATTTGGTGTCTAATTGAGGTTTTCTTTTTTTTCAGAACCGTACTTTGTCAAAATGGTTGACGACGGACCTCGAGTCCTGATTTTTATGAACGAAATGGTACCTTCGCAGGTCAATGGTGATATCCGCATGATGGCGTACGTTGCTCAGGTATAATTTAAGCAAAAAATAAAATAAAAAATAGATATGTTTCAACTGAATGATTAATTTGACTTTTTTCATCTTAGGTATGCAAGAGCAAAAAAATAAAATAAAAAATAGATATGTTTCAACTGAATGATTAATTTGACTTTTTTTCATCGTAGGTATGCAAGAACGATGTCGGTGGCCAACACGTTTTAGTGAGACAGTGGACAAAGTTCGAAAAGACACGGTTGAATTGCTCTGTGAATGGCTTCTATTTTGACCAATTGCGAGACGTTTCAGAACCAGTAGATGTACATGTGGGGGCGGGGCCAAAAACGGAAACTATTAAAATGATTTACGCAACTTTCACAACTCCAGAGTAAGTATTGTTACAAAACAATTCGTTTTTCGAGATTTTTGTTAAATCTCGGTTAATAACAATGAATCTTCATCTTTATTTTAGTCACTCTGTTCCGGGGTCAGCCGTCTGCGCTTTTTCGTTGAACGCCATACACGATGCCCTTTTGGGTCGATTTAAAGATGACAAGGGGACCGGTGACATCAAATCGACCGCTCCCACGGGGGCTCGACACCCTGGAAATTGCCCCAGTGAATCGTACTCCGAATCGGAGTTACTTTTTCTCAAATCTCACCCACTCTTAGAAGACCAAGCAAGAGGATCTCTACTAACCACTCATGTGGGAGAAAGCTGGTCATCTGTTGCCGTGGACTCCTCAGCTGGGCCACATAAAAACTGGACCGTGTATTTTGTTGGCACATCGAACGGCGATCTATTACGGTACTTGGCACCAACTAGCGGCATCAAAACTGCAACATTACTTAGAAGGCAGTCTGTTTATGACGTCAATAGGTACGTAAGCAATGTTTTCTCAAAAGTAAAATTATTTTGTAAATTATTGTGGAACTCACTTTTTAACAAAATCACATTAATTACAGGTGCTCTGGTAACTTGACACGTAGCAGCAAAATTGATGAAACCACCAAATCAGTGATCCATATCACTCTTGACCCGAGTCGAAATCAGATTTTTATGACGTACAAGCATTGCGTCATCACTGTAGCTATGAGGTCATGCGACGTTCATCGATGCAAAGATTCGTGTCTTGGGTCAGCAGACCCATATTGTGGATGGAACGGCACAAAATGCGTCGAATACACGTCACCGTCCGTCAACGTGGAACAATACGTCCACTCAAACGCAATCAATCGTGTGGATGATATCGCCAGCCTTTGTCCACAAACTGATTTACCATCTAACGATAAAGACGGAATTAAAAACGGCGATTCTGATTCTGTTACAACGACAGAAAAAGAAAACGAAGCCCCAAGAAAGAACAACAACAAAAATAATGGAGATGAAGCCAATGCCACTAACGGTACATTTATTGTGTCACAAAACGGTGATGATGGTGTTTATTCCCAACACAAAGGTACAATTAATGAGGATTCTGGTTTTTATATACAATGGGAAATTGTTTTGGCGATCGCGCTTGCATGCGCACTTCTCTTTTTCAGTATTGGATTCTGTTGTAGCAAGTTTTGCTGTACCACCCCTGTTACAGTACTTGATACAGAAAAACAACAAGAAACGATTGACGCTTCCAAAGGTTCGATTGCAGTGAAGGACACGTTATGTAAAAAAGCGCATTCTTTACTTGCAAGCATTTCTCCGAAACGAAAAAGAAAACAGCCTGGCCATATACCACCACGAAATATCAGTCAATCAACTTTAGCAGATCCTCAAAACGAACCTCTTGTCGATAGCAATAAATACGACGAATGTGTCAAACAACCACGAAATAGCTTCTGTAACGACTCTGTCGTCAGCTCAAAATATATTCCAAACGGTCGCCCTGGATCTAGGATGACTAGCGTAAGCAGTACTAGCCAGGTAACTACCACAGAATCCCTAGCAAGCTACGGATCAAAACGACGAAACTCGGCACAACCAGGATCGTCTGTGTCTAGCATGAACACAAGAGGGCGCCATTCCTACGCAACCGCACCTCGACTCGGTCATTCATCAAGTAACCGATCTTCGGATCCGTCAGAATATTCAAACGCTTCTACTCTTCGAGCTGATAAAGTTGGTGCCAGCAGATTATCATCGCGTCATTCTACGCCAGTACCCCAAGTCACGACACCAACATTCAAAGACTTGCAACAGTTCGATTTTGATTTGGAAAATACAACCCATGTTTTAAACGATGTCGAACGAGTTATTCTCATGGAACAACAAAGAAGATCGCAAGAAATGGAAGCCGTGCCAGAAGAATTTGACGAAAGAGCTAGACACGATTCAAGCGACAGTGGAAAAGGTTCAAGTCCTCGAAATTCGATGCAAAACGACGACGAACGCGCTAACAAAGTCCCTACTTTGCCTCGACCGGAAAATCTTCAACTCGGCCAGAGAGGGCGCAAAAGATTGAACTCAGAACCAACTTCACCGACTGTACCACAACCACCACTTCCACCGCCTTCAAGTCATAAACCAGTGTCGAGATCAAACTCAAAACGCTCACAACATTCTATTTCGGTACCTAATCAGCACGACAGAAAGCGAAGCGAGTCTTTCTCTTTTCAGTCACAGCCTTCAACGCCTGTTGGAAACAACTCACCGCCGAGGCTGGTACAAGCAGTGATGCCTATGCATCAACAAGGATACCAGCAATCACCACCTAATATATACGCTACTCTACCGACCAATCCAAGAGCGGCTAACGGCAAACGATTACAAATGGAACCATTTAACAGACAACAATCGTACGACACCTATTCGCCACAGAATAGATATCCAACATACGATCAAAGAGATAATTCGAATCACCCAGCAATGCATTTACCAGATAAATATTCGAGTCTTCCTTTACGTTCACAGGCTCACAGGTCGAACAAAAAACCTTACGTAAATGGTTACATGACGCAAATGTCTCAACCAGGACAAAATAATCGTCATAGTAGTCATAGCAACGGTGCGCCTCCACAGTTTCACAAACAAATGTCAAGTCCAGCTAATTTTGATCAGAGGTTAAGGTACGTGCCTCCTCCGACGGTTCCTGCGATAAAAGGATACCATTCACCGCTACCAGAGCAAAACGCAGTGTGAGCGCTTACAAGCTTCTAAAAAGCACCAGTGCCGAGTAGTGGAGGCTCACAGAGCTGAAAGTTGGGAGTGTAAAGTTACTTCAATGCAATTGAAAATGTAATTCACTTTGCTAAAAGCAATCCATGAATCAAATTTGCGTCGAATGTTTTGAAAATGGGAACACTGAATATGGCCGGATAGGAATGGAAATTAGACATTCAAATACCACCCTTTTTCGTATAGTAGCGAGTTTTGTGAGGAAATTCATCTTAACATATTTGTGAACGTGAAATTTTTGACGAAGTATAGTTCCTATGCGCTGTCGAATATACTATGATTCTATCGGAATATTCTCTGCAAACACATTCTAAATATTTAATAATCACAATTGTTAAGTATTTTATATTCATCGTTCCTTAGTAATCACAGGCGACACTGCTTTGCATTATATTTAAATATACAACTGTTCAATTTCGCGAAACATCTGCTTTCATATTTTCTTATATATTATTTTTTTTAAATATTTTTCTTTTTTTATCCATTTTCTTTTTTATTTAACTTTATGTCCTGTTTAGTAAAACCCGTATGAGGCATGTTTGGACTCTTATATTTTTCCGTAGTTTATGCATGTCTCATGTATGATCAAAGCAGAGAGTGTAGGCCATTTTGTAGCTGATGGAATTAGTATTAATATTGTAGAACAAACGATCACCAACCCAATCAAAATGTTGATATGAAATTGCATTATTTTAAAAGGTAACAACAAATACGCAAAAGGTGATTTATATACTATTTTCAAAAACAAAATAAAAATTTTATCACAAATAGTCCACTCAATAATTTACGCAAATAATTAGTACGACTGCTGTTGATGGCAGGTCCTCATCAGCAAGATAATTTTTCTCCGCTAGTTAGTTTATGGTCTACACCCCAGATTCTATCAACAACAAAAAAATTTTGTTTCCAAATAATAACTTCATCTCAATTCAAAATGAACACAAACTATTTGGGTATTACGGTCCAACTAAATTATATCAGTTTACCACAAAATAATAATTGCACTCATTGCCCTTACCTTTCTTTGTTAAGGGATGTTTCAATCTCGTCCGATTTCTAATTTTTCTGCTGCTGCTTATATTTATCTGTGCCTTACAAGATTTCCCAGTTTTGAATCATTCGGCCGTTCATCCTGTGTAGCTTACCAAGTAGGTCTCGGAGATAAAATGTAGAACAAGTAATATTTTTTTACTGTTATTTTATTTTGCTTCCTCGTTTTGTGTTTTGTTAGCTTCTGCTTATAGTGTGCATCGTTTCAGAATAAAATATTTTTGTTAGGAAAATATGGCCTCGACATCAGAATATCCCTTCTATAGCTTTTGTTTAAATGTGTTTATTTTGTTCGTGTTTTCCATTATGTATGTGCATGGTATTTCTATGCTACATATATGGTTAAAATTGTTAGTTTGACATCAATGTTATATGTAGAAATATGCTTTAAATTTTGCACTGTGGCGCTATTGCTATTTTGTTTATATGAAATAAACTTCTACATAAAATGATATGTGCTTTGTCTGAATCTTAGTTAGGATAAGGTTTCGGGCATTCAGAAATTTTAGACATAAATGAGAGGCACCCATTCAATTGAACTACCCTGAAAGTAGCGAATCAGATGTTTATATTGTTAAAATGTTGTCTGCGACTAGTTTTGTAGTAATTATAACGAAATAAAATCAACATTTAATCTACTTTAAACATATTGAGAAGAGTATAATAGTATAATATGATAGCTTCCTCAGACAAAAAGAAGAAAATCGAAAAACGCGATATAGTAATCTGATTGGATATGATTTACAATATCGTATATTGATCGTATAGAATGGTGCATTCGCTCAGATTCAATCACATTTTAAACGGAGTAAATGAAGTTTTGCGGCTCCACCCCACGTAAACACAAAAGAATATAATATACAATATTCGCCTAATAATAGTGACTAGCAGACATAATAAATCCACCTCTCCTAAACCCAATCAATACACAGACGTTTGTTTTGATTGAAAACGTACAAAGCGAAACAAGTCGTTTTCAGATCAAATGATTGAAGAAAAGAAATAGTTCACCAATATGCATCGTAGCGTGTAGCGAACTTATTCAAGTTTGTGTGCGCAGACGAACTACCCATATGAGATTTAGTTTTCCAGAAATACGATGAAAGTATCATGTTTAATATTACAGTATAGCAGCGAATTTGGAGTGTTACTATGAATTTTAATGTTATTTAGCCCCATTATATTATTAGCATATTGAATTCAATGAAAATAGGTCGTTTCGTTCTGTTTCCATGGTGATTTATAAGTGAAAAACCTTCATGTAGAAAGCGCCATGTGCTGAAAAGATCGAGGGCTAAGAATAAAAGTTTTTTTATCTTATGTTTCGTGTGACCAGTCTGATTTTGGACTTCAACTATGTACCTGTGTCAAGGATTTATATGTGTATTTCATTATATATGTATTTGGATCATTTCAATTTGATCGTACAATTCTGCAATAGACGAACATTTGCCATTACAGTCTATTGCTTTATGACCTCTGGAGGAGTCAGTTGGGGTTTCCTCCCCTAAAGTATGTTTAAGATGTACTGGAGAAAAGACACGCAAATAGAGGCCAGCGTTATCTATAGCAGGGCTACTCAACTATAGTTACCGAAGATCCGCATACAAAACTTCGAAAATATTTGGGTCCGGTCTTTCCAGAAATTATATTTCAGCATCCTTCAGCATTTCTTTCCATATATATTTAAATCTATAAAAGGAAACTTCAAAAGTGGGGCCAATGATCCAAAATACAGAATTGGGCGCGGTCCGAATACCCAAAAGGCCCGGATTCGGATCGCGGTAAGTCAGTTGAGTAGCCCTGCTATAGATAGTAGCCCTGACCTGACAGTATCACATGTCATATCTCGCGTATGTATGAGGAGAATATTATATCAATCAATTAAGTTTTTTAATGTGTATATTGTATTCTTAAAATAATTACGAGCCAGGTTATAGAGAAAGGAGATATGGTAGTCACAATTTCTCAACGGCCCATGTGAGTGCGAAGGAGTGGAAATTATATATTTTACTGCTGTCTGTCGTGAGAATATCTTATCATACATTGACATACGTGTTTATGACTCTTCTTGCCGTTATGAAAAATCGTCTTTCCCATCATCTACACTACAGCATAGGTTCTCAAAGTGCTCCGTATGGAGCCCCAGGGCTCTTTGAAAGACACATAGGGGCTCCGCGAGCTATCCTGACTTGGCTAATTTTGTAACTGTAAGAAAGCAATATCGGCAATAATAAATTTGACAACGGTATAGCGTCCAAAATTCAAATATGACATTATCTATAAGCAGGGGAGTAGCCAGGATTGCTAAAAGAGAGGGGGTTCGGAAATTCTCGCACAACAGTCTTCGCAAGTAGGTCACTCCATAAAAAAAATGACTTTTCATCGGATAACGAGATTTCTGTTGCGTAAAATATTCAATGCATGTGTGGTATCAATGTAATTGATTTCATCGTTACTCGCCTTTGCGTCAACTAAAATGCTGAGACAATCTGTAGACATAAATACGCGCTACTAAACTGCCTACTATAAATAATATTAAAATAAATAGTTGTTCTTTCAGCACTTCAGATTATTTTCAAGCAATATATCAGACATAGTCTTTACAAACATTCCAAGGTCAGCGTTAACATCTCAATGAGTAAAAGTCGCAATTGTGCAAAAGTATTCAATCCAGAACCCATGCGGACATATTTAGAATATCTTGTTCAATAGTTCAATTGTGTTATAAGTAAACTGTGGTTGCGTCGACTTACGACAATATAGATGCATTACTACACAAAATTACCACGGCATTCAACGGACATGAAAATGTGTAGGCGTAGTGTCAGATTATATCTTGTTTTGATTCGCATTCAGTGAAAATTGTGCAGTTGCAGTTCTGTCACTCGGGTTTATTTTAGGATATCACCGTTTGAAAAATTCCCAGATGAGGACAAAAATTAACATTTATTTCATGGCAATAAAAATTGATTGATGTACTCAATTGTCTTATATACCGTCACATACAGGAAAATCGCATGAGGCTCCGTCGGTGGTTTCAGATGGATAAAAATGTACAACGCGCGCACAATTGACAGTGTTTCGATTTCAGTAACATCATTTCTTGTACTTGTGGAACAAGACATGCCTAGATATGCCGATAATAATTTGTGATTTAGGGAGAATTAACACCGACGTAAAGACCGTAGTAATCCTCGACGTTTTTAGGTTGCAATAAATGATGTCATATTCAAATTATCGCCTGGATACCTCATTTCGACACTACTTTGATAATATGTTTGCCAAGTGTCAAATTTACAGCCTTAATACATATTATTTATCTGTGAAATTTAGATTTATTTCTATTTCGTATCACCCCTATTAAAAAAGCTTTAGCATTTAAATGAAGTAAAGTGATTTTAATTCACTCATTGTGGGGATCCGTGAATAAAAGTTAACCTCTTCATGGGCTCCGTAACACAAAAAGTTTGACAACCCCTGATCTACAGGACCGCCTGATCTACGGGTCCGCCTGATCTACAGGACCGCCTGCTTTGAAATTTTCTGTTATTAAAAAATTATATATTTTTGCTAGAAGTCTGTTACTTTTATTACTCATCGATTTTAATCGGTAAGTATGTTGATAGGTATTTGTCTGCCTGTGTGTTTGTATGTCTGTTTGACTGTTAGATGCACGCGATATCTCACGAAAGCGGGATTGAATCTGCTCCAGATTTTGCATGTGCATTCATCTTATCTCGGACCAGAAGCCTATTGATTTTGGGCGAATTATGTCGTATAATTAGCGAGTTATTAATTAATTAGTGATGGGACACAAGGTGTCACTATGAAGTAAGAGCGCTGTTTTGGGGGATCCCCTAACTTTCGATCGATAAGTCTTCGGTCTCTGATCGATATTCTCGTTTGTTACTTATCGATCTTAAGATCGGTAAGTATGTTGATAGGTATTTGTCTGTTAGACACTTTCGTATGTTACGCGATATCTCACGAAACCGAGGCTGAATCTCCTCCAAATTTTGCATGTGCATTCATCATATCTCGTACCAGAAGCCTATTGATTTTGGATGATTATATAATTAGCGAGTTAATAATTAATTGATTAATAATTTTTTTGTGGTCGATCGATAAGTCTTCGGTCTCCAACCGATATTCTCGGTTAGCCCCTTATTTGTTTTCAGATTTATGGACTTGATGATGGAGGAAGCCATAACTGACTAGCGGTTACGTGAACCACCCTCCGGCGGCGAGGAGTCCAGCGACTGAAGCTAGTTTTTGTTATATCATGAAATATTACTCGTGCTAAACACCCGGTGTCTCCAAAATGTCGTGTCTCACGTGTCCCACGTGTACCATGTGTCCAACTTGTCTCACGTGTCCCTCTTGTCCCACTAGTACCGCGTGTCCCACTTGTACCACATGTTTCACTTGTCCCACTTGTACCACGTGTACACGTGTCCCACTTGTTCCACTTGTACCACTTGTACCACTTGTCCCACGTGTACACGTGTCCCTCTTGTCCCACTAGTACCGCGTGTCCCACTTGTACCACATGTTTCACTTGTCCCACTTGTACCACGTGTACACGTGTTCCACTTGTACCACTTGTACCACTTGTCCCACGTGTCCCTCTGTACCACATGTTCCACTTATACCCCTTGTCCCACTTGTACCACGTGTCCCACTCGTACCACGTTTCCCACTTGACACGTGGTACAAGTGGGATAAGTGGGACACGTGATAGAGTGGGACTCATGGCACAAGTGGTACACGTGGTACAGGTGTGACAAGTGGGACACGTGGGTCAAGTGAGACACGGGGGGCAAGTGGGACATGTGGGACACGTGGTAACAGTGGGACAGGTGGGACAAGTGGGACACGAAATTTTGGAGACACCCCTAAACACCCATACTCTGTTTTCTATGTAGTTTTTTTAGGTCACGTTTTCATATTGAATTTTGCCTTTTTAGTCTGTGACTGCTTAATCAGTATTGAAAGCTAACCTTGTTTGATCTACGTTTTTCCCCTATCCGCACCTCGTGGGCTCGCCCACATAAAGCGAGGTCAACACCCCTGGGTTATTATCATTATGAATTAAATATGCATCACCTTACAACTAGGGTATTTCGTAGGGATGGGCCGGGATTCGGATCCGGACTCGGATTCGAGTCGAATCCAGGCATTTTTTGGACTCGGATTCGATTTCGAGTCCACGACGTTTTTACCGAGTCCATAATCAATTCTGTTTTTACTAATTTACGCCTATGTTTGTACTTTTACCTCTTTAAATCCCACTACATACCTTAACTAGTAAAATTCAAAGTTAGCTCTGTAACAATATCCCTCGTGTGCATTATAAACACTCCTAATAAAACGACGACAGATATCCAGATAATATAACGCAAGTTAAAAACTATTGATCGCTTATAACAATGATGTTGCGCCAGTCGCCTTCAAACTATCTACTCTTTTCGGTATACATGTGGTACACAATAAAATATGTGTTAGCGCAATATTTTTGAGTTTTAGATTCGCGTAAAAATGAAACATGCCCTGAATCAACCCAATGGGGAATCTCATCAATACCTCTTTTAAATCGGGTTTACTACGTGCAATCCTTTCGCTAAAAAGGCAATGGAAAGCATGGAGAGTTTCAGAACGTTTAGATGAACTATTAAATTGCAAGCGGATGTACCACAATGTATTGACGACGAGTGGCATTTCTCTACCATATGCGCACGTGACATAGTAAATTCACGGATAGAAATATCTGGAATTATGGGAAAGCATTGTAGTCAAAAGATTTTTTATTTCCCATATTAACATGTAAGAATATCTGAATAGCCGACCAGAATTGACGCAAGGTGGTGGGCTGGAAATCCAGTTCACAGCCAAGGCGCACATTGGCCCACGTTTACGTTTGTATCATGGCCGCCAAAAAGAGAAAAAGATATTATTAAAATGATTCAACAGCTATCTGCGGAACCATCAGGCAAAAAATATGAGCTACGACGTATATTTGTGAGCGCACGATGCTGTAGCATTATCAAAAACGTGTTTTTCTGCTTTTCTATTATGACGTCACGGACTCGGCAGATTCGATTCGAGTCCTTGACCTATTACTCGGATTCGTCGAATCTCTGTAATGCCGGACTCGTCCCATCCCTAGTATTTCGTAGGATATCAGAGAATTTTCTTATATTCTATAAGAATACAACATATAGGTGACTAATTGTTTAAACGATGTTTTAAACGGATGTTATGACGATGACTTCAAAGGTCAACTGTAAGTTTGTTAGCATACGTTGCTGAAATGCACGCCTCTATTTCACGTCTCATTATTACTCACGTTACAATCTGCGCTTAGCGTAACGAGGAAACGCTTGGTCGACATCGTGGATATTATGAAATCATATTTCCTATTTAATTGTAACGAAGTTGATTCGCAATCTATTTTATATGACTTCACGTGAAACGAATTTGTGCTTTATTTTTAGACAAGAAGTTGTCTTGCGATAAGATTTGGTACACGAGGTGTGCCCGTACAAGCAGGAAGGAAAATGGCGTTAGTTACAGTACACGTTTATCTTCAATAAATATATGATAACAGCTTTATATGATTTGTTACAGATTGTAATCTTCGATGTTATATCGTAAATAAATGGGATATTAAATATTTACTGATGTACACTGAGATGAGTCAAGACTGTTTCAAGTTCTTGAAAATAAACGGAACAGGAAGAAGCACAATGGAGAGTTGTGGCAAAAGCAGGTTTTTGTAAAGGAGGAAATAAGAATTTGTACTTGAACCTTTTCTTGACAAGATGAACATTCACACTAAACTGGAGCAATATATTTGACAGCGAAGAAACGAATGTAGCTATGTCATATTTAATAATATATGAATAAAATTTTAGACGCAAAACAGTTACAAAACTTATGTATTTGTGTGTATCTCAAGTAATTGATATTTGATACAAATGCTCAATTGATTTGAAACTCCCATTAGAACGCAGAAATGTTCTTATAATTAGAACTTGCAAACGTCTGACTGACCTAGACTTTCCACGCTTTATTTAATTCAGCAAAATTTGTAGTATGTTAGAACATGTTATACGTGATTTTAGATGTAGTAAAATCATTAGGCTTTACAAAGAACACTGCTATATGTATATATATTAGCAAGAATAATATACAGTAAATGACAAGCCGTTTAAATGGGCACCTCCATAAAATAGGATGCCATAATAAGGGACTTTGCGATTTCTGTAATGTTCCAGAGACGGTAGAACATTTTCTAATGAACTGTCGTGCATATAGAAATGAAAGACGCATACTAAAGATGAAATGCCGCGATTATGGCATTGATTTTCAACTCAAAGCTATCTTACGCGACCCTAGCATTTTCCCTGCTCTTGTTGATTTTGTGAAATCTACCAAGAGAGTACTATAGGCATATACAAAATTTTGATTTAAATTGTCTGGCGCAAAAGACTCAAATTGTTTAAAGCGCCATATATAAATTACCAAACCACACACACACACAAGGATATCTAGGCTATTCTACTGCACATGGCAGACTGTTCAATGGCCTCTTTTACGGTATTGGGAATCTGAAATGAATGACTTCCGTTTCGGCACAAATTTTGTGCAGGGATTTAAATATGAGTAATATTTTCAAATTTGTTACTCATAATTTTATTTCAAATTTGACGTTATCAGCGCGCGTTATGCTGTACACATACAATTTAGCGTAGCTCAAATATTGCTTGAAGTTAAGTATATGGAAACTTATCACCTTGATATCTTATATCAAAAACTAATTAAATCTATTAGATGAACATTGGACACTGGTCGTACATGTAGGTGATTAGCGAATATCAAGTCCAATACACATTTGAGATCATTATTATTCAGTAAACATGCAGACATGGATAAAATACCTGTAACAGCCTATTACAGTATCCATATTGTTCGAAATTTATTTCACTTGTTTAAAGCAGCATTTCCAGTCGAGGAAGAATTCTTCCCCAGGAAGGTAGTTTTTTATGAAGGGCGAAGGCTATTATTGTAAAATGGTGCACTAATATTGTTGACTTTTTCAGTATTTTTGTAATACGTATTTATACATACATTATTAAATATTCTATATGACTGTACAAAGACCAGGGTGCGACTTGTGTATGTCACTTATGCTTATAAACAAATAACGAAAACGTAGTTTTCTATGCCTGATGAGCGAGGAATAAAAAAATCAAAAATAGGCGAAGGAAAAAATTTATTGAAAAATATTGGGAACCAACTGGTTTAAGGCACCAATTAATGGCAATTACTTCTCTGATATATAAATTGGTGATATTGAGTGCTTTATCAATATCTCTAGTTATATACTTTATCTTCGTGACGTACAAGAATGGAAGGTATGTTATATATTCATTAAATAAACATATTTAATTGAATTGAACTGATCAATGATGCCTTTGTCAGTTAATAACGATTTGGAGGATTGCTATGTTTAATCTTTAATCGTTGTCGCCATCTTAATTTGTATATATATTATTAACCTTGAGAATCAAGACCAATTTTCATTATTGACTTGCCAGAAAATTTCTCACCAATCTCTGTCAAAGGAAGTACCGTAAAAAGTTAATTATAAAACACTAAATTATGACTTACAATTGGAATACATTTGATTAATTTTGAAATACAACACACACTTACTCACACGAAGTTTTGGTGAATGTTGGTTCATAACTAATAGCAGTAGAGTATACCCTACATACGAATCTCTTAGTTTGTGATGTAGAAAGTATATTAGCATATTATGCTAATCTGCAATATTTTCATATATTAAAAACAGGTTTGCCTCACATATTATCAAAGTGGACCGAGAGAAAATTTTTGATAAAAATACATTAGTCAAAGATACCTCATTCCAGCAATTTGGTTTAGAACAAATAACCATGCTGAAGAGGATGGATAAGAAAAGACCTTTGTTCAATATCAAAATGACCCCATGGAAAGTTTTGTCAGACAATCACACCATGCATTCAGAAGGTAACATTTATAATGAATTCCTAGGATTTATATAAGTAATCTTTCCATGAAGTTACCACTCTGAACAAACCCATACACCAATTGATTCTTAACGAATTACTATTATTTGAAGGCTGGAATCGTTCTTGTTCGAAATTTATTACACCCTGATTGAGGTGGCAGAGATAATACTTGATGGATGTGAAATCTCTGATCTGTCTTCCTAACATAGTCAAGTCCAACGCTTTATCAAATGCAAATAGGCAGATTCGAATTTTAAATAAATTCGCATTCCCAACATATCTAGAGTAGAACAAATAAGATTATGGGTTTATAAATGTAAGCGGTATTTGCCAACACACACGAACTAAAATAAACACCAAAATGAATAAGTCAGTGTTACCGCTATGTAAGGTGGGCGAAGTTAAAGATTTACTATCTTTCTACTATCCTGTTTTTTTGGTATCGATAATTATAGTCTTGGTAGGTTGGTATGGATAGGCCTATTTTTATGCCCTGATATCTAAACTCGGCAAATAACAAGTCTAACAAGTCATCGAGACAGGCCAAACAACATAGTCTTTGGTAGCGTTGTACAAATTGCGTGAATTAGGAATCTTTTATGCCGATCTAAACTCCTTGTGCGTAAAAGATATATATTATTCATCCAGATTGCAGAGTAAAATATTGCGAAAGCGTTAACATTATCGACTACCACAAAGGTAGTGAATGCATCTTAATACCTTAAAGCCATAATATTCATTTTTATTCTCCTTTGCCTAGAATATACAAAACAATTTTTCAGATTGTCGATGGTCAATGATTGTTGCCGTCAAGTCAGGATACGACAGAGATAAACAACGAGATCATATCAGAAAAACATGGGGTTCCAACACATTCCTTAATGGGGTATGCTTGCATGTGATTTTTACTGTTGCAAATACAAAAACTATTGAAGAACATAGTCAACTAGAAAAGGAAGAATCAATACATGGTGATATTTTACAAATCGATTTGGAGGAAACTTATCCGTGAGTTCGATTATCTAATACCTATGGTGGCACATCGTTGTCACGCGTAAAATTAAAAAAAAAATGAAAAAATAAAATGAAAAAGCGAAAATGAAAAAATAGTTGTGAAAAAACACAAAAATAATTGAAAAAAAAAAAAATTAAAAAAAAAATTGAATAAAAAGAAAATAAAAAGGTTGACAACGATGGTCCGCCTCGTGGCCCATCGTTGTCACGCGTTTTTATTTTTAGAAAATTTGATGCGGCTTGGACCAACGTTGTCATGCTTAATCCTACACGCACAAATGTGTTTCCTGGGTTTCTAACTCAGTACTGATTTTCATGAGCAATATCCAATAAATTCAAAACGAAAATGTTCTATAAATTCTCCATGCTACAAGTTCAACCACAAGCAATATATTTATAATAATGATAAGAGAATATAGAATTGAATACGAAAATTTGTTCTTACGTGTAGAAGGTAATTTAATTGTAAAATGCTGCTTAACTGCTCAGTTGTCTGGACACTCGTGCGATGCCGGTACGGTACCGTCTGACCGTACTGGTACCCATGCAATGACTCATGAAAGAATGGGAGATACGGATAGACTCGTAGAATATAGACTACTGAAACACTCTCTGCGCCTGCCCCATACCGTACGTATTTGGTAAGACGGTACGGTACCGGCATCGCGAGTGTCCAGACAACTGAGTAGTTAAGCAGCATTCTCCAATTAAATTACCTTCTACACTTAAATCAAATTTTCCCAATTTTCGTATTCAATTTTATATTCTCTTATCATTATTATAAATATATTAATTCTTGTTGAACTTGTAGCATGGAGAATTTATAGAACAAAATCAGTAGTGAGTTGGAAACCCAGGGAACACATTTGTGCGCGTAGGATTATGCCTGACAACGTTGGTCCCAAGCAGAAGCAAATTTTCTAAAAATAAAAACGCGTGACAACGATGGGCCACGAGAAGGACCATCGTTGACAACCTTTTTATTTTCTTTCTATTCAATTTTTATTTTATTTTTTTATTTATTTTTTTTTTTTCGTTTTTATTTTTAATTTTTTATTTTTTTATTTTCGGTTTTTTATTTTATTTTTTATTTTCAATTTTACGCGTGACAACGATGGGCCACCATAAATAACCCCTTCAGTCGCGAAATTGCAACGAATGAATCGAGTAAAACTGATTTTTCTTCATTACAATTCATACTCATACCACTAACTGTGGTGATATCAATTTATTCTGAATTGTCCTTCCTGTAAAGCATTTTCGTTGAGAACATATGCTGGATGGTTCATGACTCGACTATGTTGTTAGTGTCAGTTTCAATGCTCTTATATACGATCAAATATGTAATGTAATAATAATAATAGACTTCGGTTGATTTTTGAATTTTTTGTGATTATCTGAACGTATAATAATAATATTTGTATTTGTCGCGCATATTATTTCCGATCCATTCATGTCAATATCACTTTCATCTAGTCGATCTAACAAAAACCTTAGCTAACATGCAGGTACAAAATAACTCAACCTAAACCCTTCCCCAACTTGAAATTCTTAGCAGGAAATAGGCAATATATTGATTCGAGTAAACAACGCTTTTGAACACACCACAACATAGAAGTTTGCATTCTTATGATGCATAACGTCATGTATAATATTTGCTACCAAATCACAAGACAGAAAATTTTAATACAAAAACGCAATCAAATGCTATTTTATAATCTGTTTTTACAAAAAATACTTAAAACTGGCTGCTGGCTTGTAATATTCAAAGAATTTGAAATCTTTCATTCCACCATGTCATTCAATAAAACACCAATAAATTGTATTATCCAGGAAAACTTACCGTAATTGCTGTTTACTAAAATGTATAAAATAAACTCTGTAACGTAAGTGCACTTGAACAATTCATATTGTCCTACACAATTTTTGTTAAAAAAACACTCTATCAAATCTTACTATTATCTTACTTACTACACTTACATGTAATACTACACTTTCCTGGAGATTGACCATGCAAAATATTTAACTTCAACAGAAACATTGGATATAAGGCTCTAGCTTCAATGCAATGGATAGGAGAGAATTTTCCGAACAATTGGATCTACTCATCTGCAGATGATGATATGTTGCCAGATCTTCCTCTCTACTACAATGATGTGGAGTATTTAATGAACGGAGAAAAAAATTCATCAATAAATTTTACGTCGAATGATTTTCTGGCGTTAAATTCTGCCAACCATTTCCCGATATTTTGTGGATTTTGGCAAGCGCGAACCGGTAAACCAAAGAGATACGATTGCAAATGGCAAATTGATGTAAAAACTTATCCCTACGAATATTATCCGCCTTTTTGTTTAGGGGGATTTTATTCAATGTCAGTGAAACATGCCAGCGCGATTTACTCTGTTTCAAGATGGTATCCCTACTTTCATTTGGACGATGTTTGGATAACAGGATTTATGAGACTACGCTTATGTGATTTAATTTCAGAAGAGGATTTTACTTTCAATAAAACTGATTTTAACTGTGGGATATCTAAATTGTTAGGAGACAGAGTTATACACGGAGCATAGTGATTCTGTTTTCATATAAAACGGAATGCTTTATTTGTCGCATTTTTGAATGGTGTTCACAATAAGCTGAGCATTTTCGAATATATACTAATCATGACTTTTGTTAAAAATATCACAAACTTAGCAAACTGTGATTGAAGTGAATATTAGCAATTACCACATTTGAATATTCCACCCTAAATTATCACTTTCTCTCATTTCGTTATTTGTTAGCAACGTTTTTTTTCTTCCCGTGCTGAGCCTTGGCGAACATATTAATATAAATTACGTTCCCCAATTTGTTACTTGGCGATCACTGTATACTGTTAAGATATTTTTTAGTTAAAATTGGAAACACGTGAAAGCATAGACTCCTAATTTTAATTGAGTTCAACTTTAAATTGGTTTTGAACTTTGTTTTGATGACCTTTCCATGTGCATTTGAAATTAATTTATGAGAAATGGGTTATAAAAAAGGACTATTTGAATCTATGCATTTTAAATCCTCTTTTGGGAAATAAAGCAAACTAATACTAAGTGAATTCGGTATTTAGAGAGTGCTAAGGTTATCTTTGTTAGAATAGCAACTAATATTTTTATTTATTACTTGGTAAGTAAACAATCATCTTAAAATAACAAATAAATTGAATTCTTAAAAATCAATGTGTGCATGTCGCAAGAAATATGCAGCGATTTTCACATGATTGAATTTGACATGATTGAAGATAAATATTTAAAAACACAATATGTTGATTACCGTAACGATGGCACAATACTTCGGAAGGTGTCATCAATATACAGGGGTTCCCAATTTTTCTGTGCCATCGACTTTTTTGATGACTTGACCGAAAGCCTGGAGAGTCCTCGAATGGAACTAGTTCATTTCTCCTATTTAAGCATTCATTCCATTACGTCGAAAAATTGAAAGTTATGTAAAGCCGTAATTTGTACGATACCCAAAAATAATTTATTCTTTTTTCCGCTTTTTGGAAAAAAAATTTTGATAAAGATATAGTTAAAAGTTGTGACTTTTATTAGGATGATTTTCTGTTGCGTAAAATTTAGAAGTCCATGACAGATACCGGCATTCAAGTTGCCGTACCGTAATTTTGTTCAACGTGACTCATGGTTGCGTCGAAAAAATACAAGCATCATTAGGCTGAAAAAACCACTGCAATCTGCCAACATAAAATGTGTATTAAAGTTTAAACTGTTCAATTCGAATAAATTTTTTATTCGTATTTCCGTACCTAAGTAATAATAAAACCCTTACAATTCTAAAATACCAACATCGTATAGATGGCATGGATGACTGCATATGATAGCAGACGCGGCAAATGTTTGACATCTTGTTACATCGCTACTGTCACTGCATTGACTAGTGTCAAGGCTAGATGACGCAACTAACGAAGTTGAATAATGTGCTTGGCTATTCCAAATTGTTCACTGGCTTTCTATATTTTTGGCTGGGAATATATGCTAACAATATAATAACTAGAATATCGGTTAGACACCGAAGACTTATCGATCGAAGGTTAGGGGATCCCCCGAAACAGTGGTCTTACTCCATAGTGACGCCGTGTGTCCCATCACTAATTAATTAATAACTCGCTAATTATAAGATATAATCCATCCAAAATCAATAGGCTTCTGATCCGAGCTATGATGAATGCACATGCAAAATTCGGAGCAGATTCAACCTCGCTTCCGTGAGATATCGCGTGCATCTAACACACAGACAGACATACAGACAGCCAAATACCTATCAACAATAAATATGATAACTAAATATTAATTTTATGGCGTAACAATACAATTCCTTCCGGGGATTTTTTGCTACCATCGTAAACAGTATTACAAAAATTGCTTCCTATATGTTAAAAAAATAGTAATTACTCTCCTTTCCCTTGCATTTGGTAATCAATCAATCTGCAAATATAATCTAAAACGGCATTTTGCAATCATGTGAGCAATGATCATTTCCAAATTTTAAGGGTTTTTGCTTTGAGAATCTTATCGATGTTCAAAATCACTTACATTTGCGAAAGCACATTATCCGTTATGAAGAGTTTAAAATTTTACACTATAAATGTAGATATAGAAAGGCTTTTGCACGTTTCAATGATTTTTTTTTTGTTTTTTGCATCTTTAAGCTTGATACATGACAAATATTAATCAATGTGTTTGCACAATAAAGATGTTTGCTTTGTATTGACCTGTTTACCTATTCTTGGCAATATTGCGGACCGCAAACAAAAGCAAAAATCCTTTTGTGGTCCACGAGCCGATAACTTTAGGCCTCCCTGGCCTAAATTAATGGAATCGATTCGGATTCTCATCAGAAAAGCATTGCTATTCCATTAAAAGGTTGAAATAATTCCAATGCTACAACAAAATATAGAAAAATACGAATAATTTGGCAACGAGTTCGCGGCCCACCATGAGATGCTTGGCGGGCCACCAGTGGGCCGCGGACCACCGGATGAGAAGCGCTGAACTAGTCCACACTGCTTGTTGTGTTAAAGTTATATGTTGTACAAATAAAGCAGCAATGTTCAAATGTCGCCAAGAATAAATCACTAATCGTAGTATAGAAGTTGCCTATGCGTTCGGATATCTGATAATTCGAAATTACTAACCGTAACCGTAAATTCACCAGTAAGGACTCAAGTTGATTAACCGAGTTAGTTGAAAATATGGCAGACAGTCCTGATATAATTGGGGGCTCAATCTAATTTGGAGTAAGATACCGAGTCCCACCGGATTCGAGGTTCATCAATTGCGAAGAATGGGGATATTTTCACAAAAAAACAAAATTTTTGAAATATGCCTAATACGAGCGATCGTGCCCAACAACGCTTCTCATCAAAACAAAACAAAGAATCAGCATTGAATTCGAACAAGGCGCTCCACAAGCTGCCACTTAAATGTAAGGTGCTACTCAATGAGAAGAGAACGGGTTCTCTTTTTCACCGAACTCACTATCAACAGAATTTTCGATTCTGTCTAATGTCAACTCAAGCTTGCTCGTCACAGTTCATAAACAAATAGATAAAGATAGATTATGAACGAAATCAATTGAAAATTTGATTATGCGTCGTTCATTCACTGGATTATCAGAACAGGATCAAACAATAATGTGCTGTACGTTTGCTAAAACCGACTTTCATTCATCTAAAGAAAATGTTTCGACTCCATTAAATACGTTGTTCGAATGTTTATTTCATACATATAAACAATTTGATTCACACATAGTTTTATTTTTTTGTAACACATACAATAACACTTATAGTTTTATTTTTGTAACACGTAAAATAACACATATCTATCATGATATCAACAAAATATAGATCTGGATATTATAATTCTTGTTGTCTTTGTATGAGATTCGACGTTCTATAGAGAAGTATTAAAACGTTAAATTAATCGTTTAAAGAAAAATAAAAGAAACTATTTCACCACAAACTACTTACAATAAAATTTAGTATAAGTTTCCAACATTTCATCTTCTCTACCGCCTGTTAAAAAAAATGAAATGCAATAAATATTAGTGATTTTATATTTTATTATATTTGCAATCTCACAATTTAGGAAAACATTTTGCATGAAAATTCTCCTTGATTCTTTAGATATAAAATAATAACGATGCCATCAAACAAACTCACGGAATAAAATTTCGTACTCAAAAGTCGAGCTCCAATTGATATATAATTTGTCTTATGCATAGAATTCCCAGTTCAAAAAATATCACTAAAAATATCACCACTTCAACAAAAAGTTAAATACAAAAAAATTGTAAATTATTTACTGAGCAATGAGCAAGTTGTTAAAAGTGAATTCAAATTACTTCCTTTCTAAAATTAGTACTACAAACAAAATGACCATCCAATATAACATTACAATTGCTACACTAAGTCTCCAGTACTCACCTCTTGGATATGCTGAACATAGAATCAAATTGATCACCAACAAAGCTACGCACACAACAACAGACCTCCACGACATGTTTTATAACTTTTTGTAATCTGGAAACAAAATTTTCAAATTAAAATATATTTTTTTATCTCAATATTTTTAAAAAATATTAATCAATAAGCAGATGAAAATGCTTTTTGTTGCTCTTGTCGGTTTTAAATCAGAGTTAGTTTACTTTGTATTTATTCAAATGATTCACTCTCACTCGCAAAAATATACCCCTAATATTCTCTAACTGTTTTGTAGCTGCAGCCTAAAATCACTCTCGGTCAGTCCGACTCAAAAGAAATATATCCCAGCACATAAAACGCCACGACAAAAGAGATGACACTTTATACATTGAAAAGGATGATTTGCACCGGAAAACTAATTGATCGACGGTTTCTTTTCTTTCTCATGGATCATGTCAATGATTACTTTTATAAAGTATGCTTCTTTCGCATCGGAAAACGCTATTTATTGATTGTCAATTTCCTTTCCTACCAATGTACGTGTTGTGTCATAATTCCCTACACCTAAATACTTTCTTTTATAAACATAGTAATGTTTCCATGTTCATACCATCGACTATCCAGGCGGTTTACGGGCCCAAATGCAAACTACATGACTACAATTACTTAGCCACTATACATACAATAGTGGCCAAAGTTTTGCAAATAAATCCAAATACCAAAATAATATTCAAAAACCTTAGACCATTTCTTAGACAAATTTAGAATTTATTTCACGAGAGAGGTTCTATTATACCTTCCGATGTCTTTCGTCTGCTTCTGTCTCACAATTTGAGGGTACGGGGGACTCATCCTGTACTATGGCCTAATATGTAATGAAAAAAGAAAAAATTTTATGCAAATACAAGAAGCTATGCTTCAGCATCATGTAAATAAGTGCCCCATGTATAGGTGACAGATTTAATTTAAAAGACTTTAAGCTTAATCCTAAGACTGACGAGTAAACTTTATCGCCCCATTTAACTCAACAATACCTAGTACAGTGCAATAGTAGGCCAAGCCGAAATCTTTTTTGTTGTTTTGTCGTGCAAATATATGGATTAAAATTTGTTTAATCCTAAATTCATCACTCACATTGCTAATTGATTATCGAAAGGTTACATCTTTATAGATCGGAAAACATGGTTGGTTTGCCCTATTTCAATTATGTTGCAAAGATAAGTATGCTTAATTCTAAAACTTTGTGACACAATAAAACGTCACGTCAGTGGAATTGAAGCCGTTGTAATTTGGTTTCAATGTCGGCTTGACTTCATATTGACATACGGGTAAATATCCCAAAATATTGTGTTGAAGCGGTTGTAATTTGGATCCAGTGTCTGCCTGACTTCAAATTAGTATGTGAGTAAATGTCCCAAAATGTTGTGTTCCATCTTAATAAAACAGTAAAAGCCTGCGACACTCGGTATTCCCAGTCAGTCGCCCATGCTTTCCGAGTATTTTCCGAGCACTACGTTCCTTAACTCCCGAGATCAGTTGTAGTCGTGATATGGTCGTAGGCGTAAGTATCGGTTCCTATTCGGCTATTTATATTTAAGAAGATGAATTTCAAACCAAGAAGGCGACAAAGCGTATTTTTTTTAAGAAGATTATTTACATAAATATTCGATGGTTAGAATTATTGATAACTAAACCACTCGTGTGATATTTTATGCTCGGGCAAGCATGTGCGATTGCAGTAAAGGTTCCACCATAAACAAATTCAAAAATCTCGACTATTTAATTGAACGTGCCTGGGACATCATTCATATAACAACCATTTACCATTTTCATTGGATTTATTTAGCCTCTTGTTCCAACCTTCATGAGACAAGAACGGAAATTCAAGAGTCACAATTCTACTCGAATCTCGGAATGTTCACGATGGCGAAAGTTTATAAAAAAATTCTGGATGATATCATGCCTTCAATCTGGGTCTTTGGCAATGGGGGAAATGTAACCGATAATCGGTTACGCTGGTCGCTTTCCACGATGGCATTTTAACGGAATTGAAGTTACGGTGAAATGCTACGTAAAACATTTCACGACTGAAAATTTTTAGCAGTAATATTGATAATTAATTTTTTTAACAGTGATACTGTTAAAAAGTATCAGTCATTAAGTAATCGAATTTCACCGTAACTTAATTTTTTTTCAATTTTTATTAGTACAGCACCCACATTTCATTCAAATTCATGACACGGACGTTTTTTTGAAGACACCAATCACCAACAAAACATAAATCAGATTTCAAGATATGAAATATTTTATATATATCAATTTTTAAATATTTTTTAACACAAATTTACAAAAATGGGAGAAAATGGTATTTTATTACTGTGTCACTGGTTGGCCTGACCAACTCCAAGATTTTGAGTTGGAATGAATATATATAATCAGTGACATGAAACGCGTAAATAAACAGCGAATAATAGGAAGATACCAGTAAAATATTCGGCAACAACCGACGTAGGCTACAAGATGTGTTGATACTTAACGTGGTTGAAATCAGAAAAATGTTTGACATCTTGATACATCGCTACTGTCACTGCATTGACTAGTGTCATGGCTAGATGACGTAACTACGGAGTCGGAGTAAGATACCGTGTCCCACAGGATTCGAGGTTCATATTTTCACAAAAAAAACAAAAATTTTGGAATATGCTCAATTCGAGCGATCGTGCCCAACAACGCTTTTCATCAAAACAAAACAAAGAATCAGCATTGAATTCGAACAAGGCGCTCCACAAGCTGTCACTTAAATGTAAGGTGCTCCTCAGTGAGAAGAGAACGGGTTCTCTTTTTTACCGAACTAACTATCAACAGGTTCCCCATTTCACAAAACTATACCAAACTTATAGCCCCATAACTGTCAACATCTTTAAATACAACTTTCGAAACGCCAGTCAGCTGAACAGGTTTGCTGGTTATCTTACAACATTCCAAGGACGAGTTCAGGAGAACCCCCTGAATCAAGATGTGCTGACAAAAACTTATAGCATAGATAAAACAAAGAGGAAAAAGAGCGATAGCATTCTAGTTTACTTGACCAGACGAATTGAATATTTATGAGATGCTGTAAACCATTTGTTTACAAGAGATATATCCCGCGTTGCCCCGTGTCCTTGTTGGACACGTTTAGTGTCCATAACGATCGTTTCAATATTATGTTGTTGTTGTTGTTGTTGTTGTTGTTGTTCTTGTTCTTTGACACGTTTTTAAAAAGTCGCTTTTCTCTTCGAATACTGGACCAATTGCTTTGAAATTTTCAGTGGTTAAAGATTAATTTTTTCGCTAGAAGGCTATTACTTTTATTTCTTTCAAAATTTTGCGTGAATTCTATGAAATTTGATATTTCGTCTAAAATTTTGCTGTATTATTTTTTATCCATGGGAACACGGATTTTAGTCAGTGTCATGACTGGCTGTACGTTTTGATTCTGCAAAATTCTTGCTACTGGAAATTCAGACCTTTTTTGAGGGTACCGGTAGCGTCAAAGGTACCGGTAAGGACTGATTCGCTCTGGTCTAACGTGTCCATATATTTGTGCGTAGCTCTCTTGTTTATATTGTGGTTGTCTCATGCGAGTCATACGACGATACCAAATGACTTCATACTATTAAATACTACTACTGTTCAATCATACTATTTTTGGACACGTAGTGAACATAACGATCGTTTCAAAATTTTGTTATTGTTATTTTCCTTATTTGTCTCCATCATTTTTAAAAAAATCGCTTTTCTCTTCGAATACTAGACCAATTGCTTTGAAATTTCCAGTGAGTAAAGATTGATTTTTTCGCCAGAAGGCTATTACTTTTATTTATTTCTAAATTTCGCTGTATTATTTTATCCATGGGAACACTGGCTGTCGGGTTTGATTCTTTAAATTATTTCTACGCGAAACTCGGAATTTTTTGAAGGTACCGGTGGCGTCAAAGATAAATACTGCTTCGCTCTTCACTACCTCTTCGCTACCGGTATTTGTTTTTCGAAATCATGGACTGCTTGCTTGGTGTCAGTATATTTGTAAACCGTGGTATGTCTTGTAGACCAGTACCGGTATGTAGACCAAGTATGTACCGGTATGTAGACCCGACCCTAACTAGACCAATACGGTTATTCAGTTATTGTATTATAAACAGGAAACATGTAAACGATTTTAGTCCTAATACCGTACCGGTAACTGCGTTGTCTCAGTTCTAACACCGGTACCATACGCTGTTACCTGATACTGGTAAGTGCCGAACACTGGAATAAATCAAATGTCAGAATGCCTGGTACCGGTAGTGAAATGAATTTCCTTTATCAGATTTGTCTACTTCGGACGAAAACCAAAATTTGTACCGGTATCCGAACACTGAAATATATCAAATGTCAGAATGCCTAGTAGCGGTAGTGAAATGAATTTCATTCACCAGATTTGCCTACTTCGAACAAAAACTAAAATTGGCATACCGGTACCGGTATCCTTGCCTGACAAAACTTTGAACTGAATAAATATTTAAATCATACAGTTATAACTTTGCAAATGCTGATACTGTGTTATGTCAGTATTTGTCAACCAATTTGCGACCACCGTGTTTTCGTCCGTTTGATTGTTGTGATGTGGTGCTTTGTTTATAATTTGACGAGTTTTGTTTGAAATAACCGTGTTCTTAAAATATATGGCGGTCAGAAATGCAATTAGAAGCCCAATGTTTTTAAAGGTAGAGAAGTTCTGGTAGCGCGGTGACACTGAACTAACTCGTAGCTGTCAAAAGCTTGAAAATCCATACAAATATAAGAGATAAAAAGATGAACTTTGGCAGGTGGGTAGAGTTGTGTTTCTTTTAACCATCTTTAAAGGTTTCGCGTTTCTACATTTAAAGGAGGGAGAATAGGGGGGTGCGCATTTCCAATACGTCGATAATATCTTTATCAACCAATTTGTTTTTGTCTGTTTGATTCCTGTGATGTGGTGCGTTGTTTATACAGGTACTGGTAAGTCACCGAATATGATTTTTTGGAAAATTGTTCTGCGTGTCCATATATTTGAGCATTGCTCTCTTGTGTTGTTATTGTTATTATTTGTCTCCATCATTTTTAAAAAATCGCTTTTTTCTTCGAATACTGGACCAATTGCTTTGAAATTTTCAGTGGTTAAAGATAAATTTTTCTCCAGAAGGCTATTACTTTTTTTTTGCTATGACGTCATCAAAATTATTGCCATTGGGTGGCGCTACGTGTCCATATATTTGAGCATAGCTCTCTTGTATTTTCAACTATTCATGGACTACTACACCACGAAATTTTTTATGAACCCCTGGCGTTAACTTCCCGCGCCTTGTTCTCGAGGTAGGGCAAATAAGGAATATAAACATAATGTTGAATGAAATGATAGCAATATTTTGTTTATAGCATTAACATTTAGTTGAAGATATAAATGGCGTATAATGGTACATTTTGTTTGCACAAACTGGAAGTTCAAAACGCAGTGCTTTGCAAATGCTATACAAAATTGAACTACAGTTATACAGAAATTTCTTATTCTGTCTAATCAATTAAAAATTTGATTATGCGTCGTTCATACACTAGATTATCAGAACAAGATCAAACAGTTAATGTGCTGTACGTTTGCTAAAACCGACTTTCTTTCAACTAAAGAAAATGTTTCGACTCCATTAAATAGGTTGTTCGAATGTTTATTTCATACATATAAACAATTTGATTCACACATAGTTTTATTTTTTTGTAACACATAAAATAACACATATAGTTTTATTTTTGTAACACGTAAAATAACACATATCTATCATGATATCAACAAAATATAGATCTGGATATTATAATTCTTGTTGTCTTTGTATGAGATTCGACGTTCTATAGAGAAGTATTAAAACGTTAAATTAATCGTTTAAAGAAAAATAAACTAGAAACTATTTCACCACAAACTACTTACAATAAAATTTAGTATAAGTTTCCAACATTTCATCTTCTCTACCGCCTGTTAAAAAAGATTAAATGCAATAAATATTAGTGATTTTATATTTTATTATATTTGCAATCTCACAATTTAGGAAAACATTTTGCATGAAAATTCTCCTTGATTCTTTAGATATAAAATAATAACGATGCCATCAAACAAACTCACGGAATAAAATTTCGTACTCAAAAGTCGAGCTCCAATTGATATATAATTTGTCTTATGCATAGAATTCCCAGTTCAAAAAATATCACTAAAAATATCACCACTTCAACAAAAAGTTAAATACAAAAAAATTGTAAATTATTTACTGAGCAATGAGCAAGTTGTTAAAAGTGAATTCAAATTACTTCCTTTTTAAAATTAGTACTACAAACAAAATGACCATCCAATATAACATTACAATTGCTACACTAAGTCTCCAGTACTCACCTCTTGGATATGCTGAACATAGAATCAAATTGATCACCAACAAAGCTACGCACACAACAACAGACCTCCACGACATGTTTTATAACTTTTTGTAATCTGGAAACAAAATTTTCAAATTAAAATATATTTTTTTATCTCAATATTTTTAAAAAATATTAATCAATAAGCAGATAAAAATGCTTTTTGTTGCTCTTGTCGGTTTTAAATCAGAGTTAGTTTACTTTGTATTTATTCAAATGATTCACTCTCACTCGCAAAAATATACCCCTAATATTCTCTAACTGTTTTGTAGGTGCAGCCTAAAATCACTCTCGGTCAGTCCGACTCAAAAGAAATATATCCCAGCACATAAAACGCCACGACAAAAGAGATGACTTTTTATACATTGAAAAGGATGATTTGCACCGGAAAACTAATTGATCGACGGTTTCTTTCTCTTTCTCATGGATCATGTCAATGATTACTTTTATAAAGTATGCTTCTTTCGCATCGGAAAACGCTATTTATTGATTGTCAATTTCCTTTCCTACCAATGTACGTGTTGTGTCATAATTCCCTACACCTAAATACTTTCTTTTATAAACATAGTAATGTTTCCATGTTCATACCATCGACTATCCAGGCGGTTTACGGGCCCAAATGCAAACTACATGACTACAATTACTTAGCCACTATACATACAATAGTGGCCAAAGTTTTGCAAATAAATCCAAATACCAAAATAATATTCAAAAACCTTAGACCATTTCTTAGACAAATTTAGAATTTATTTCACGAGAGAGGTTCTATTATACCTTCCGATGTCTTTCGTCTGCTTCTGTCTCACAATTTGAGGGTACGGGGCACTCATCCTGTACTATGGCATTATATGTAATGAAAAAGAAAAAGTTTTATGCAAATACAAGAAGCTATGCTTCAGCATCATGTAAATAAGTGCCCCATGTATAGGTGACAGATTTAATTTAAAAGACTTTAAGCTTAATCCTAAGACTGACGAGTAAACTTTATCGCCCCATTTAACTCAACAATACCTAGTACAGTGCAATAGTAGGCCAAGCCGAAATCTTTTTTGTTGTTTTGTCGTGCAAATATATGGATTAAAATTTGTTTAATCCTAAATTCATCACTCACATTGCTAATTGATTATCGAAAGGTTACATCTTTATAGATCGGAAAACATGGTTGGTTTGCCCTATTTCAATTATGTTGCAAAGATAAGTATGCTTAATTCTAAAACTTTGTGACACAATAAAACGTCACGTCAGTGGAATTGAAGCCGTTGTAATTTGGTTTCAATGTCAACTTGACTTCATATTGACATACCGGTAAATATCCCAAAATACTGTGTTGAAGCGGTTGTAATTTGGATCCAGTGTCTGCCTGACTTCAAATTAGTATGTGAGTAAAAGTCCCAAAATGTTGTGTTCCATCTTAATAAAACAGTAAAAGCCTGCGACACTCGGTATTCCCAGTCAGTCGCCCATGCTTTCCGAGTATTTTCCGAGCACTACGTTCCTTAACTCCCGAGATCAGTTGTAGTCGTGATATGGTCGTAGGCGTAAGTATCGGTTCCTATTCGGCTATTTATATTTAAGAAGATGAATTCAAACCAAGAAGGCGACAAAGCGTATTTTTTTTTATGAAGATTATTTACATAAATATTCGATGGTTAGAATTATTGATAACTAAACCACTCGTGTGATATTTTATGCTCGGGCAAGCATGTGCGATTGCAGTAAAGGTTCCACCATAAACAAATACAAAAATCTCGACTATTTAATTGAACGTGCCTGGGACATCATTCATATAATAACCATTTACCATTTTCATTGGATTTATTTAGCCTCTTGTTCCAACCTTCATGAGACAAGAACGGAAATTCAAGAGTCACAATTCTACTCGAATCTCGGAATGTTCACGATGGCGAAAGTTTATAATAAAATTCTGGATGATATCATGCCTTCAATCTGGGTCTTTGGCAATGGGGGAAATGTAACCGATAATCGGTTACGCTGGTCGCTTTCCACGATGGCATTTTAACGGAATTGAAGTTACGGTGAAATGCTACGTAAAACATTTCACGACTGAAAATTTTTAGCAGTAATATTGATAATTAATTTTTTTAACAGTGATACTGTTAAAAAGTATCAGTCATTAAGTAATCGAATAGAATTTCACCGTAACTTAATTTTTTTTCAATTTTTATTAGTACAGCACCCACATTTCATTCAAATTCATGACACGGACGTTTTTTTGAAGACACCAATCACCAACAAAACATAAATCAGATTTCAAGATATGAAATATTTTATATATATAAATTTTTAAATATTTTTTAACACAAATTTACAAAAATGGGAGAAAATGGTATTTTATTACTGTGTTACTGGTTGGCCTGACCAACTCCAAGATTTTGAGTTGGAATGAATATATATAATCAGTGACATGAAACGCGTAAATAAACAGCGAATAATAGGAAGATACCAGTAAAATATTCGGCAACAACCGACGTAGGCTACAAGATGTGTTGATACTTAACGTGGTTGAAATCAGAAAAATGTTTGACATCTTGATACATCGCTACTGTCACTGCATTGACTAGTGTCATGGCTAGATGACGTAACTACGGAGTCGGAGTAAGATACCGTGTCCCACAGGATTCGAGGTTCATATTTTCACAAAAAAAACAAAAATTTTGGAATATGCTCAATTCGAGCGATCGTGCCCAACAACGCTTTTCATCAAAACAAAACAAAGAATCAGCATTGAATTCGAACAAGGCGCTCCACAAGCTGTCACTTAAATGTAAGGTGCTCCTCAGTGGTTCTCTTTTTTACCGAACTAACTATCAACAGGTTCCCCATTTCACAAAACTATACCAAACTTATAGCCCCATAACTGTCAACATCTTTAAATACAACTTTCGAAACGCCAGTCAGCTGAACAGGTTTGCTGGTTATCTTACAACATTCCAAGGACGAGTTCAGGAGAACCCCCTGAATCAAGATGTGCTGACAAAAACTTATAGCATAGATAAAACAAAGAGGAAAAAGAGCGATAGCATTCTAGTTTACTTGACCAGACGAATTGAATATTTATGAGATGCTGTAAACCATTTGTTTACAAGAGATATATCCCGCGTTGCCCCGTGTCCTTGTTGGACACGTTTAGTGTCCATAACGATCGTTTCAATATTATGTTGTTGTTGTTGTTGTTGTTGTTGTTGTTCTTGTTCTTTGACACGTTTTTAAAAAGTCGCTTTTCTCTTCGAATACTGGACCAATTGCTTTGAAATTTTCAGTGGTCAAAGATTAATTTTTTCGCTAGAAGGCTATTACTTTTATTTCTTTCAAAATTTTGCGTGGATTCTATGAAATTTGATATTTCGTCTAAAATTTTGCTGTATTATTTTTTATCCATGGGAACACGGATTTTAGTCAGTGTCATGACTGGCTGTACGTTTTGATTCTGCAAAATTCTTGCTACTGGAAATTCAGACCTTTTTTGAGGGTACCGGTAGCGTCAAAGGTACCGGTAAGGACTGATTCGCTCTGGTCTAACGTGTCCATATATTTGTGCGTAGCTCTCTTGTTTATATTGTGGTTGTCTCATGCGAGTCATACGACGATACCAAATGACTTCATACTATTAAATACTACTACTGTTCAATCATACTATTTTTGGACACGTAGTGAACATAACGATCGTTTCAAAATTTTGTTATTGTTATTTTCCTTATTTGTCTCCATCATTTTTAAAAAAATCGCTTTTCTCTTCGAATACTGGACCAATTGCTTTGAAATTTCCAGTGAGTAAAGATTGATTTTTTCGCCAGAAGGCTATTACTTTTATTTATTTCTAAATTTCGCATGAAATCTGATATTTCGTCTAAAATTTCGCTGTATTATTTTATCCATGGGAACACTGGCTGTCGGGTTTGATTCTGTAAATTATTTCTACGCGAAACTCGGAATTTTTTGAAGGTACCGGTGGCGTCAAAGATAAATACTGCTTCGCTCTTCACTACCTCTTCGCTACCGGTATTTGTTTTTCGAAATCATGGACTGCTTGCTTGGTGTCAGTATATTTGTAGACCGTGGTATGTCTTGTAGACCAGTACCGGTATGTAGACCAAGTATGTACCGGTATGTAGACCCGACCCTAACTAGACCAATACGGTTATTCAGTTATTGTATTATAAACAGGAAACATGTAAACGATTTTAGTCCTAATACCGTACCGGTAACTGCGTTGTCTCAGTTCTAACACCGGTACCATACGCTGTTACCTGATACTGGTAAGTGCCGAACACTGGAATAAATCAAATGTCAGAATGCCTGGTACCGGTAGTGAAATGAATTTCCTTTATCAGATTTGTCTACTTCGGACGAAAACCAAAATTTGTACCGGTATCCGAACACTGAAATATATCAAATGTCAGAATGCCTAGTAGCGGTAGTGAAATGAATTTCATTCACCAGATTTGCCTACTTCGAACAAAAACTAAAATTGGCATACCGGTACCGGTATCCTTGCCTGACAAAACTTTGAACTGAATAAATATTTAAATCATACAGTTATAACTTTGCAAATGCTGATACTGTGTTATGTCAGTATTTGTCAACCAATTTGCGACCACCGTGTTTTCGTCCGTTTGATTGTTGTGATGTGGTGCTTTATTTATAATTTGACGAGTTTTGTTTGAAATAACCGTGTTCTTAAAATATATGGCGGTCAGAAATGCAATTAGAAGTCCAATGTTTTTAAAGGTAGAGAAGTTCTGGTAGCGCGGTGACACTGAACTAACTCGTAGCTGTCAAAAGCTTGAAAATCCATACAAATATAAGAGATAAAAAGATGAACTTTGGCAGGTGGGTAGAGTTGTGTTTCTTTTAACCATCTTTAAAGGTTTCGCGTTTCTACATTTAAAGGAGGGAGAATAGGGGGGTGCGCATTTCCAATACGTCGATAATATCTTTATCAACCAATTTGTTTTTGTCTGTTTGATTCCTGTGATGTGGTGCGTTGTTTATACAGGTACTGGTAAGTCACCGAATATGATTTTTTGGAAAATTGTTCTGCGTGTCCATATATTTGAGCATTGCTCTCTTGTGTTGTTATTGTTATTATTTGTCTCCATCATTTTTAAAAAATCGCTTTTTTCTTCGAATACTGGACCAATTGCTTTGAAATTTTCAGTGGTTAAAGATAAAATTTTTCTCCAGAAGGCTATTACTTTTTTTTTGCTATGACGTCATCAAAATTATTGCCATTGGGTGGCGCTACGTGTCCATATATTTGAGCATAGCTCTCTTGTATTTTCAACTATTCATGGACTACTACACCACGAAATTTTTTATGAACCCCTGGCGTTAACTTCCCGCGCCTTGTTCTCGAGGTAGGGCAAATAAGGAATATAAACATAATGTTGAATGAAATGATAGCAATATTTTGTCTATAGCATTAACATTTAGTTGAAGATATAAATGGCGTATAATGGTACATTTTGTTTGCACAAACTGGAAGTTCAAAACGCAGTGCTTTGCAAATGCTATACAAAATTGAACTACAGTTATACAGGAATTTCTTATTCTGTCTAATCAATTAAAAATTTGATTATGCGTCGTTCCTTCACTGGATTATCAGAACAAGATCAAACAGTTAATGTGCTGTACGTTTGCTAAAACCGACTTTCTTTCAACTAAAGAAAATGTTTCGACTCCATTAAATAGGTTGTTCGAATGTTTATTTCATACATATAAACAATTTGATTCACACATAGTTTTATTTTTTTGTAACACATAAAATAACACATATAGTTTTATTTTTGTAA